TTCACTAGAGTTAATTGCGTTTGTACATGATTTGACATGTACATGTTTTTTATGTGAGATGTATTATGTGTGCCTTTCTTACGCATAATGGGTGCCCAGCACTGCATTTCATTACGCAAATATTTTTGGCCGTCATATTATTTGATAGTTTTTCTTCGTGGGAGCTGTTTTTAAGTGTGCCTTTTTTGTCTAGACTCTAGATGTATATTGAGTGCCCGACATTGCAATGTATCACGCGAATATATGTTATTCTTTTATGTTACAGTCATTTCTATTTTTCGCCGGTCCGCGAGTACATTTAATTTAATTTTACCGGTCCGCCAGGGTAGAAAGGTTGGTCCGCAAGTACATTTAATTTAATTTTACCGGTCCGCCAGGGTAGAAAGGTTGGTCCGCAAGTACATTTAATTTAATTTTACCGGTCCGCCAGGGTAGAATGGTTGGTCCGCAAGTACATTTAATTTAATTTTACCGGTCCGCCAGGGTAGAAAGGTTGGTAACCACTGAAGATTCTATGCATATGACGTTGTAGTGCCCTACCAACTAGCTGATGCGAGTCGAACAACGCATGGCATAAGATCAACAACCAAAATTCTTGCGCCTGCAACTAACTAGGAAGCGCGTGTTAAATAATGGCGCCGCCTCCGGTTTTACCAAGTTATTTTCACATGGTCCTCCTGTATTAAAGGTTGCACCCCTCTACACTAAACCATTGCCGGGATTCCACGTTTAACCTGTATCACTCTCTTGGGTAATTTACCAATTTTAATGTCCAGGCGCCCAAGTTGCAACTCCAACCACGTGTTTGTTACTGATCTCCAACATTTGAACGAGAATTTCTAACGTCATAGCAAACTACGACATCATCAAAGTCTATTTTCTTATAAAATGAAATGTTTTCGAAGTTTATGAAAAATGAATTTAGAAATATCTAACGGCCTATATTATGGTCATGACAAAATATTTATAATTTCGAGTTCATATTGTGACTTTTAACGATTCAAAACAAAAAAATAATCAAGCTTTAATATAATCATTTGGTACCCGCGCAATAAAAGAGGAGGTAAATAGAACTTTATGATATTAGGATAGTCCATATGTTGAGATATTCTGAGATCAAATACTTAAGCAGACCTTCTTGATCTTGAAGTAATCGACAGACATTTACCATCATCGTGAGATTACAATATTTCAATATCAAATAATATCGACTATATGAACAAAGGCGTGGCGATTGGCTAAGTGCAATTAGTGCTGGTTGAAATAGCAATTCATTTAAATGGGTATAACATTTCCCTACTTATTTTTATCAAAAACGAATTTATTCAAAGGTTATATAAATGGATAACACTATTGCTCAGTGGAAGAAAATTTTTAAAATGCGAGTAGCGTAAACAAGTACTGTGCTGCTTAGTCATAAGCGAAATTATTCGATTTCGGACTACAAGTAGATGGAATGAACTGCTGGGACTTGGATAGAAAATATGATAATGCGAAGAGTTTTTTATATGAAATCTTACGAAGTTTTTATTTGACAATTGACGTCCTAACTGAGTTCAAACCAGCATCCCAGTTTTTATTTATTCGTGTATTCTAATGTTGTCAACACCAGCAATAAAATAATGACACAGTCTAAAAAATGAGGAGGTGTTTAAAAATTTCGAATGAAATTCTTTTGTCAATTACTGCGTACCCGCCATGCTTCTGCCTTGAGGTTATCTAATTTTTCAGAGGGAAAGGTATAAAGAAAGTAGATTTTCATTTCATTGAAAATCTGAGAAAACAATTATAGCTACTAGCTAGTGAAATAGCGTATCTTCAAATTTTTAGATATTGCAAACTACCCATAAATGAAATAGAGCTGATTTAACTGGAACGCGTGTTCATATATGACGCAATTATTATATTAATAACCTACTAACCTATAAAATTTGTAAATTATTTCATTTGTACATTTTTAATCCAATTCTGTTGTTACAATAGAGAGTAATAGTGCTGCGGTTGTTCAGTTTTGCATGCGGTTCTTCGTGCGTCATTCGACTTTCGCCTCAGGTCTCCTTGGCGCCGAGTTATATATTGGATCTCCGCTCTATAGGAGACCCTCATTCTCAGTCGTTCTGTTTGTCTGTCCTGTGTATCTTGTCTGTCTGTTTAGATGTAGCCTCTAAACGGCTGGATCAATCTGGATGAAATTTCTCATGTAGGTCAACCTGTCATCCTAGTATTATGCGTTTCCTCGAATAGCTGGATTGATGTTTCGTTTCCATGGCACCAACCAAAGACATCCGATCGTGAAGAAATTTCTATTTTATACATTCTGTCGCAATTTCTTCGTAATTTGAGTCGCAAATTAAAATTCTGAGATTGCTAGCCTTTGCGGAAGAAAATGCTTTCTCTAACAAGCCTCCATTCATCTCGATACTCCACAAACTGGAGAAGCCTTAGGGTTTTTAGTAAACATGATTATTTCAAATTTTAGCCATCGCATATCAGTCACGCGAGTACGCCCACAAAAACGCGCAGCGTTCCAAAATGAATTAGCCTTTGTGGCAACCCGCTCGCTTACTTAATCGCACCGCCGTTAAGATCCTCAAGTTTCCACGATTGGCAATCGGTTGCTTGAGTGCGGGTCTCAATCTAACCAGCGGAGATCCTGGGCGCCTACCGGCTTGTATCTTATTAAAAAAATTTAATATTTAGAAACAGGAGCACACAACATTGCTTCCTATGATCGACCCCAGTGCGCTTTAGTATGAGCAATACGGCCGCGACTGAAATCAATGTATTTTTATGGGTCGTTTTTTTCACTAAAAAATGGATTTCTATATCTCATATATTTGTGGTTTAAAAAGCTAATGAATTTTCTTTCGTGTAGCCGCCAAACATTTTAAAACGTAAATTCATTTTTTATTATTCTTATAATTTATGTACCATTGCCCCTTCATGGCAGGCCATACATTATTATCGCACCCGGTAATACAAAAATTAGGTGACGTAAAAATTGATACTACAACCAATAAAACTGGTGGTGTCTTCTAATGATGATGATGATGATGATAATGATGATCTTCAAATAGTTTTTTTAATATTAGAAGACACTTTGTTAGGTACAATCTATTTCTATAAACCAGCGTTTCCCAGCCTTTTTTGTTTGCAGACCATTTTTTGCACCGGCGAAATCCTTTGCGGTCTCAATGTGCGTTTATTGCAACCGCACTCTGTGCAAATAACCAATAAAACCAAACACAACAGAATTTCAACGATTTTCAAAATAGGAAATTCGCTGAAATTACGCGTTCGTTAAAAGAGCTGACTTTTTAGTTTATAATGGCCTATGCTGTCGCACAATATTCAGTCCATGACAACGACGAGAATTTAAAATGTTTTTCTATTTTAATTTAATTGTGTTCATGGTAACTCGTGGCTGCGTCGACTTACGGAAGATTAAAGCATTACTTCTTTAAAATAATACGACAATCTGCGGCAATCGCCCGATTATATTTAGTTTTGATACATATTGATTGCGAATTTGTTATTGCCTCAAGAAAAATCCTACTATCTGCTAAAAATTTCCAGAAAGTACAACTTGATTTAGTACTTATTAAAAATATATTTAAAGTATATTAGTAAATTAAAAATACATTCATCGCCTTGCTTTATTATTATTAATTTAATTGTGATCATTTTAATCTGCGGTTGTGTTGACGAAATTAAAGCAATACTACTCAGAAAATATCATGACAACCGTGGATACAAAAATGCGATTACATTTTGTTTTGATTCGTATTTTATGACTTCGACAAATCTGAGTTGTTTCGTACAACACCTACGGCGCTCCCATCACTGTACGTACAATGTGATAGCGGTAATGCAACGAATCCTAAGGGGAAAATGCCCTGGTACGTATACTTCGGTGGCACCACAAATTTTGCGATTTGCAATGTCTAAAAAACGTTTTAATCGGCCGCGGACAATCATAAAACAAACTTATGCTATTCTCCCGTTTTGTTTTCCGTATTTTGTATTGCGCTTTTCAAGTTAGAAAATTTTGGGTTGACACTTACCAGAAAAAAAATTATTTTTTGTTGTTCGAATCGCGGCACCTACCACTTAGGTATCTATCGAAGCGTGTGCAGACTCATCGTGTTTTCGTCGGAAATCTGCCAAGTGAGTTGTGAAATCCAATCGTTTGATTAAGCGACGCGCAAGTGACCTGTCGCGCGACTTGTTACCAATTTTCGAATAGTAATTGCTATTCTAATAGTAGAATATTCGAATATATGCCCAGCACTCCTCAGTAACCATTAATTATCGACTCGATTAAGGTTAGGTGAATAAACTTGCCCTTTATGTTTTGTGTAAATTCTAACGTGAATAACTTGGCTGATAGTTAAGTTTCGCAAAAACGGTTGCGCCCGCAGTGAATTCCTGGCTCGTTGCGGAATCATTTAACCGACTCATTTGAGACCGCGGACTCGGGTTGGGAAACACTGCTATAAACTAAACATTTTTCGCGAATATGGCCCCGCCCTCTATATTTTCCAAATATTGTAGCTCTTTCGACCTGTAGTCTACCAGGGCTTCCCAAACTTCTGGGCTCGCGGCCCCTTTCGAAATATTAAAATTTTTTCGCAGCCCCTGTTCCGTTAATAATACTAAACAGTTCGAAATATTCTTATTGACACAGTCATTTTTTCACCTTTTAGTAGGCCTACTCGATAACAAAAACAAATTCACTTTTACTCCGATTAGCACTAGTAGTAGTGACTTCTCGTTATATCTAAAATATTTACCCCGTATACATAGCGATGTTAATTATTAATTTGCTGGTCCCAATAATTCTACCGTATTTTTAGATAGGTGATATTTGCCAGAAAAGTTTAAACGTAACCACCAAGAAATAGTTACCCAGTTCTACCCAGTTCATATGTTCAAAACGTTCCATTTGTACATTTTTACTACAATTCTGCTGATATATTTCAGGAAATATTATCCGCAAATCTAATATGAAATGTATTGTTGCTGTCACTTTGATTTTGCTCTTTCCTTGTGTGTTATGTCATATGCCGACATTGTATGAATTTTGTTCACACGTGGTGGCAAACGGCAATGCGAGTCTCGCCAGATGTGATTCGAGTCAGTGTCAAGGAAGGCCAGGAATAAAAGGAGAACCGGGGGAAACCTGGAACAGCGGAACATTTAGAAGTACGGGTGAAGAAGTTGGAAGGTGATGAATAATTCCGAAAATGTATTGTAATTGGTTTCATATAATTAATACATGTTGTTCATAGTACATATTTCTAAATATTCCAACGTTCTTTTTTTGTTTCTCTCAAGATTCTTTCTTGATGAATAAAAGACTAATGGCGATGACAAATCGTAAGTATCCTGCCACTGTTGAAATACGGTATTACGTTTAAAATTTTATTTTATATTCCTGGTTTAAGTGAGTCCCCGAAATACTGACAATGTTAAGTGTTCCCGACTTAGACAATCTTAAATATCTTAAATAATCAAGAAATGAAATGTCATTATAAACATGGGTACTAGTTTATAATTCCGGTATAAATTTCAGCTGAAATTTGCTACATGGGTGTCAAGTATGGTCACATCAATTCCTGACTCACGAATCACAGCTTCATCAGTTTACGATCACAATATCTAGCTTATTATGGGAGAGTGGACAATCTGGATCGTTCCGGGGAAAGTATCCATACTGGGCTACAAGGATAAGTGAGTGATTTTGATTTTACATAATTAATATTAGAAGAATCGTTCCAATTAAACTGATATTTTGTTTGCATGCAAATTTTAAATTGTGAAGATGCTCTTCAAATTCCTCATTATACAATGTTTTTGAACATCTTCAAATTTATGTCAGGGGGACCAAAATATGATAATGACTTGAATGACATATATATAGTTTGCAGATCTAGAGTTTATCTGTCATTATAAAAATCATCATATGACTCAGATTAAATCTGTGATTCTGTTTGCAACGAACTGTGTTTGAATTCAACTTTGTTTCGGTTAAATTCATATGCAGGTTTGCAAAATTATTTAACAGTGAGCAATTCAATATGTCAGCGAGGAAGTAAAATTGTTACGAATTTGTAAAACATAAAAACTAATGAACAATTTTTGACAGACGCTATAGGAGAATGGCATCAGGTAGAATTCAGTGCACCTACTCTCATAGGAGGAATCGTGACACAAGGATGCCCAGTTTGTGATGAATGGGTGACGTCTTTCAAAATATCGTGTGGAAATTCTCCCAGCGCAATGAACACAATACGGGAAAATGGTTCAGAAAAGGTAAATGGCAATTCGAAACTTTTACTTTCAGAATCTTGCTGGAATATAATAAATAGTACAACCCATTGGCGCATCCAGGGGGTTTCCGGGGTCTGCACCTGAACCTCTATGGGAAAATTTGTGAACAAGCTTTCTTTCTCACACTATAGGTAACTATTTATTATTTACACAAACAAGGGGTTTATTTCTATTTCAGATATTTGCTGGAAATAATGACAGGAGCACTAAGGTTACCAACATGTTTCCGCATGTAATAATATGTCGTTACATTCGAGTTTATCCTCAGGAATGGCGTAAGCACATAGGAATGAGAGTGGAGTACATTGATGGGATGTGCCATGGTGCTTTGTAACTTATACATATATATGAAATTTGATAACAATCCCATATACAATGCTAAGGCTTTAAAAGAGTCTGGCTATCATTGTCTTGACTTGTAATGGTGACATGCCGATGAACCCGTTGGATCCACATACTGTACTTAAACTATTCATTTTGTTTCGGTTGATGCACGAATTATAGATGTGTTGGATGTCAAGCAATGATGATTTTTTAATTTTGTTTTGAAACTCTGTTAAAGCAAAAGCCTACACATAAAGCAATCCGTTTTCATTATAGAGTACATTTTTTTTTTGAAAAGTAACTCGTTAACAATTACAGTAATTTTCATACGGGTTATTTGTTCCATAAATGAAGTTGACTATTTTCATTTTGACTACTACACTACGTGCAGATTTGGAGAATAAAATACTAACATCGTTTCTGAAAAATATTGAGCGATCTTGTTTAAAACTAATATTCAATTGAAAAGACGATTTCATGCCAGCTGCGTGTTAATTTTTTGTTTTGTAATAAACTTCATCGCTCCAAATCTGTTATCTGCATTTGCATTTACGACGAGCATTTGTTGACGTGCTAATGATTATTTTTAAATTTATTTTGCAACATGGATGATGGCCAAAAGTACGGCCGACGGGCCAATCCGGCCCGTTGGATAATTCAAATCTGGCCCGCCTGATGCCGCCACTACCAAACTGAAACCAAATTTTCTTGTTTCAGCTAAAAATACTCAAGGAATTTGTTGAGATTGCGGTTAAATTTAGTTTGGGCCACGAAGTTTATTGTTTTCCCAGCTTGCTTTGTAATACTGTGAATATTGTTTATGAATGTAACTCTTTACGTCACACTTACATGGCCCTCCGGGCTAGGTGGCACATTTGCCCCGATTCAAAACTTTACCCACTCCTGGTGTGTAGTATACAGTGGGAGCTTCTTGGAAATGTTGGTCGGAGTATAAAATTGTAAACTATTTGAAATGAATAAAGAATTTTGATAGAGAAAGTAGGAGGATGGCATAAAGTAAATTCCAAGACATCTAACCAATATGGGTAATCGTGACACAAGTAAGACAAGTTTTTAAACAATGTAACAATACGTGATAATGGTTCAGACAAGGTACTGTAGTATCAAATTATTTTCAACATTTAATTAAATATAATTTACCCGCTTTTAACCCAACAAGAACACGAGAGTGAATTTAATATATTTGGGCCCCATTGTTATAAATGGATAATATATTTCTGATATTGCCAAAGCCTTTGTCCGAAATTGAAAAGATACCTCTAGAACAGTCACAACTCTACAGCGACCCTAACGCCAAAAACATACATATCATTTTCATTTTCCGTTCAGATATTTCAGTAGAATACTGTTGACATGAAATTAAAAATATATGAAGATATTGATAGAGATTTAGCAGATTTCTCAATAAACTTCTCAGAAAATTTCTATTATGAAGTTGACAAGTGAGTGTTCCCACATTCCACAGTTATATATATATATATATAGTATTGTTAAAAAATATACCCGTTTGAAATTAAATATTGATCTAACTTTAATATTTTGAATCATTTCTTAATTTAAGATATTTACAGGAAATATTGACACGAACACAAAGGTCACAAACATGTTCTCGCATTTAATAATATGTCGATAGATATGAGTGGATGATACATGAGAGTGGAATACATTGAGGGAATGTGTCTTGGTTTATTAGTAGTCGATCATGTATTCCAGAGTGCGGTGGGTTCAGTCCGGTGGGTCCAGCCCGGTGGGTTCAGTCCGGTGGGTTCAGTCCGGTGGGTCCAGTCCAGAATCTTTGAAGCCGCTAAATTTCGTCTCTGTCTCGGATAAAATCTTGACTCCTACAGCTACAAGTTGGCAGCTACGAGTTTTGAAATATGCATGGCGTCTTTAATACATTGTCGAGACAAGTAGCTATTTTGAAGTCATTCTGAAATGCTCATCAAGTGTTTAAATTTTTTGTATTTTGATCAGTAAAGTGAAATCAACCACGAATGCAAACGGTTGCTTTTGATAAAAACCTTATAATAGTGATCCAATACTTTTATTGTGACTGATATGGAATGAACTTGACAATTTATATTAACAGTCTCATATGTTTAATACCAATGATTTCATATACTTTGACTGACATCCGCATACTTCAACTATTCTGCGTTTCCATTGATTCATGAATTAGCTATGGCGATTGTCGAACAATGTTGATTATCTATATCAGGGGTTCTCAACCTTTTTTTCTGTCAAGAACCCCCTGAGTCACGAAACAATCAACGCGAACCCCCAGTAATCAGACACCGAACAAAGTTGTGATATATCGACTAACATTTTTTTGCAATAACAATTTATTGACTAGATGTAACTAAATTAAATCTTGTTAATATTATTGCCCCAAGTTTCTAGGAGCATAAGCACTTTCTCCAATGCTCGCAGCACGCTGTCTTTATAGATTTCACAGTTTGCCTACAAAGCCGTGAATTTCACATTGTTGCGTCACAATCACAACAACGCAAGATAAGGGAAAATCTACGTTTTAATTGGCACCAGTTTAATGGGCACGCACTTTCCTCTGGTAGTAATGAGGGATAATAAAAAACAGCAACACACAAAAAGTCGATAAGATCATATTTCAGAAACAGGAGCATCAGATACTTCATTTTCTTAATTTTAACAACAAAAAAGTGTTTTGATAATGAATTAACTTTGTTTTATAATTGATACAATAGCCTGCTAAACTAATAAAACTGACGTCGCGTCAGAAAACAAAAGATAAATAAAATTTGAACACACCAATATACCACCCACCTAATCGTGACTTTGCATTGTATATTTTTAAATATTCATAACTACAGTTGACCCATCTTTCTAAGTGTTAGTAAGTAACGCACGCACTTGGCATTGCGTTATCGACTGTAATGGGAAAACAAGTTTCATGAAGGACTTCGGTTTATCGAATTTATTTTAAACACGACATTCTAATTTAATTCGAACACCTATTGTCCCATTTTCTTGAGATCGGAGTGTGCCGTATTTTAGTAGAATTTTTGTTGTGACTTTAAAAATAGGACTATAATTTTCCAGAATAAGCTCATACAATTCACAAAGAAAAGTTGTCATCACAAATTTCCTAAAATTAACAACAGATTATTATTAACAGTCTCATATATATTAAACATTTTATATATTCCATACCAGTCATTGTGGGATCAAATACGAATCCGTATGTTTATCAAATGTTGACCAATGTTTTTAAGCGCCCTAGTATTGTTTAAAAAACTTGTTGGTAATTAAATTGGTATTGGTTTGAGGACATTTTAAACATTTCTTAGAAATGCGTTTAAGCACTATTTTCTATAAATCAATTGCTTGTTGTTTTTCTTTTAACACTTTTAGGAATTTGCAATTCCATGGAACTTGTTCACGAATGAGTATTTTCGAAGTTATAATTAATTCACGCGTGATCTTGCTGATTGAAAAAATATTTATTGAAAACAGTCGAATCGTCTATGCACGATGTCTCATTTTTTTTTGTTTTTTGTCTTCATTCAATCATATATTTTCCCGAGAAATAAATACTTACTTAGTTTCTTGGAAAATTGATAACTACGTTCATACGTCATCTAACAATACCAAAATCAGCTTTTACATTTATTTATCGTTGAAAAAGAAATGGCTAGGTTTTGCTAATTCATGATTTATTTGTCAGATGAACAAATATTTCAATTCTGCATGATTTCATTTTGTATTCATTATTATGATGGATGGTTTTTGCGTGACCGATCTTGTGTTGTGTATTTATTTTGTAGCAACGTTTATCGCCGATATATATCATCTACGTTCTTACAGCATTGGGTCAAGTTTGTCGCTATATAATTCTGCACGGAAAGAGCAAGGCCAGCACATATTAAATACATGTGAAAGGAATACCTGGCAAACGCAAGCTTAACTGGAGACTCCATTTTTGCCCTGTCTCAAATTAATTCATAGAATTTTACGCTTCTTTCAAAAACCCTATTTGGTCTTTCGAAACAGACAATAACTTCTTTTTGTGTTGATACGAATCCGATAAATTGTAGCTAAAGTCAAAAAACAAAGTGATTGTAGTGAGTAGTCAGGTTCCATTGGCGTCTAGTGTAGACGAGTTCGTACGTAAACTAAAAGCGAAATTGTATGATTTAAACGATTAACTATGCAGAAGTTGCATTAATTCTTACAAAAATTAACAACAGATTAATATTAACAGTCTCATATATACTAAACATTTTATATATTCAATACCAGTCATTGTGGGATCAAATACGAATCGGTATGGTTATCAGAAATTGACCAATGTTTTTAAGCACCCTAGTATTGTTTGAAAAACTTGTTGGTAATTAAATTGGTATTGGTTTGAGGACATTTTAAACATTTCTTCGAAATAAGTTCAAGCACTATTTTCTAATAAATCAATTTGGCTTGTTGTTTTCTTCTTAAGCTACTTTTAAGAATTTGCAATTCCCATGAACTTGTCACGAATGAGTATTTTCGACTTATAATTAATTCACGCGTGATCTTGCTGATTGAGAAAATACTTATTGAAAACAGTCGAATCGTCTAATCACGATGTCTCATTGGCATTTTTTTGTCTTCAATCAATCATATTATTTTCCCGAGAAATAATACTTACTTAGTTTCTTGGAAATTGATAACTACGTTCATACGTCATCTAACAATACAAAATCAGCTTTTACATGTTATTAATCTTTGAAAAGATATCGCTAGGTTTTGCTAATTCATGATTTATTTGTCAGATGAACAAATATTTCAATTCTGCATGATTTCATTTGTATTCATTATTATGATGGATGGTTTCGCGTGACCGATCTTGTGTTGTGTATTTATTTTGTAGGCAGCGTTTATTCGCCGATATATATCAATCTAAGTTTTTACAGCATTGGTCAAGTTTGTCGCTATATAATTCTGCACGGAAAAAGCAAGGCACACACAATTAAATACATGTGAAAGAAATACTGGCAAACACAAGCTTGGACTGAGGCTCAATTTCGCCCTGTCTTAATTAATTCATAGAATTTTATGCTTCTTCAACAACCCTATTTGTCTTTCAAAACAGACAATATTTCGCTTTGTGTTGATACGAATCCGATAAATTGTCAGCTAAAGTACAAAAAAAAGTGATTGTAGTGAGTAGTCAAGTTCCATGGCGTAGTAGTGCAGACGGAGTTCGTACGTACACTAAGGAAATGATGGTAACGAATTTTAATCGATTCAACTATGTCTTCATTTATCCGCCATATATTATATACAAACAAACCTAAATCTGTAAAATTACAATGCAATGCAAAAATAGAAAATTTTTGTGTATCAGCCTAATATTCACGAGCCTTGTAAATGGTGAACGATGTGGAAACTTCGATGTGGGTCCGACATGCCAAAACTCCCCCTAGCTACGCCATGTACGGCAATATTCCACCTGAGAACACATATAAGTAGTAAATAGCGTATCTTCAAATTTTGAGGTGTTGAAAAATCCTATACGACTAAATGAAATATAGAATAATTAAAATTTATATGTGAAGCAAATTATGATTTTAAAAACCCTACTTAGCTCTATATTGTAAAAAGATGAAAATTTATAAGATTTTGAAAACTTTTTATATGTTTTTTTTTTTAATTCAAATCTGCTGATATATTTCAGGAAATATTATCCGAAAATCTAATATGAAATTTTCCGTTGCTGTTACCTTGATTTTGCTCTTTCCCTGTGTGCTATGTCACATGCCAACGTTGTATGAATTTTGTTCACACGTGGTGGCAAACGGCAATTCGAGTCTCGCCAGATGTGACTCGAGTCAGTGCCAGGGAAGGCCAGGAAAAAGAGGAAATGAAGGAATACGTGGACTACCCGGAATAAAAGGAGAACAGGGCGAACCTGGAACGGCGGAACATCTAGAAGAAAGGATAAAGAAGTTGGAAGGTGATGAGTTGAACCAAATAAGTCTGAGCATGTATTGTAATCGGTTAATTACCTTTCAATTAATACATGTTATACATAGTACATATTCATAAATATTTCAACGTTCTTTTTTTTTCTTTCAAGATTCTTTCCTGATGACTCAAAAACAGCTTTTGGCAATCAAAAATCGTAAGTATTCTGCTACTGTTAACATATGCAGAATCATTACGTGGAATTGTATTTTCATATTCCCGGTTTAAGTAATGTTCCTCGGAATACTTCAGTGTTCCCTGCTAATACAAATGAAACAATCAAGAAATAAAACGTCATATTATAAAACATATACACCAGCTTATAATTCTGATATAAATTTCAGCTGAGATTTGCTACATGGGTGTAAAGAATCGTCACATCATTGCTGACTCACAAATCACAGCTTCATCAATTTATGATAACAGATTCCATGCTTATTATGGGAGATTGGACAATGTGGATCGTTCTGGGGGAACGTATGCTGTATGGGCTGCTAAAAGAAGTAAGTTATTTTGATTTTCTATAATTAATATAAGAATAATCATTAAAAATCACTGACAATTTTTGCTGAAAAGTATGCTCTTTTTACGTTTGTGAACACTGTGTCTTTATCCGAATTCTCAACTTATACTAATTTATGTAAATGTTTGTTAAATTATGGCATATTAGAGTTATTATGAAGTTATTTTTAAAAGCTTTAAAACAAGCTCTGAATTATTTCACACCCAAATATGAACTCGGAAGAGTTTATTATCATTGCCAAGTGTAAGGCTATCATATTACACAGAATGCAATAAAACGTATAGTAGTTTTTCCTCGTAAATCGTTTCTGCACTTATAGTGCAATGTGGTAGTATTCGATTTAACTTTGATTTCTGTTAGTCTTCTGCCTGATGCAAAATTATAGAATTTAGACTGGCTGCATTAAAAATGTGAGTGGGAATGACCACTTCGTAGAATAATAAAATAATTAATTTTTATAGATACAAGAGGAGAATGGCATCAGGTAGATTTCAAGGCGCCCAAACCAATCGGAGGAATCGTGACTCAAGGTCGACAAAGCCACGATGAATGGGTTCGGTCTTTCAAAGTATCGTATGGAAATTCTACCAACGCAATGATGACAATACAAGAGAATGATTCAGACAAGGTAAGGTAGTATTTCTAAACCCATTTTGCTATTATAAAATGATTTTCAACACTCTTATCTTAATATGGGATTTCCGGGTCATTAAGATTGCTTCAATCAAGGTTGCGGTCTTTCATCTAAAATTTAATCTTTTATACTATTATACTTAATAAATACACTTATTGAAGTAGACACCAGTTAAGATGGCAAAGAGAAAGCGAAACGAATGAAAATTTCACATCGGAGAAATTCGTTATCAAGCGTGGAATTCTACATTTTTTTTTATATTGGCGATTTATGATTTAGATCAGGTGTGTGCAACAGGCGTCCGTCGGCCACAACCAGGCCCGCCCTTCAGTGTGGTCGCTGCAAACACTTAGATTCTCTTCAATGAAGCATAAAAACCTAATCCGACAGTTTGGCTCTTTCGCTGCGTAAAATCTTCTTCTGTTTTGCCTGTTGCCTTCATAACTGTAAGGCTGAGCAAGTATTTTTAATTTGCTGTGTAGACCAGCTAGATGTCTGAAGTCGGTTATATGGCCCAACGACAATTACAATGTATTTACTATATTCTGATATGTTTTACTGAACTTATTGTTGTACTTTTGATTCCTATTTATATTTCAGGTATTTACTGGAAATAACGACAGAAACACCAAGGTCACCAACATGTTTCCGCATGTAATAATATGTCGATACATTCGAGTTTATCCACAAACATGGTATCGTCATATGAGCATGAGAGTGGAATACATTGATGGAATGTGTCATGGTTTATTGTAACTGACATGGAATCAACTTGTCAATGTCCCGAGATTCCTATAATTACAATACTAATAATTTTACACCGGGTTAGGGTAACAGTTAATGACAGACTGCTGTGTGTTGGTGTTATAGCGACTAGCGTTCGTTGATCTCAATTCTTCTGCCTTTTGCTTTGTTCCAATTTATCCACGATTTAGCTAGAATGTATGTGAAGCAACGTTAAATTTCTAATTTTGTTTAAAAACTCTACTTATCCATAGTACGTGTGGATAAAACAATCCATTTTCATCAATTGTTGGAGTGTTCTGCTTTCCTTTGATCTCCGTGTTAATATATTTAAGCATCGCTCTCTTTCAACAAGAATAATTGTTCAGATATTTTTCAAACATCTGTTTAGATATGTGTATTCGGATTTTTTTTGTCATACAATTCATTTATGTTTTGCTTACTCTCCTATATATACGTATAAATTCATAAGATGAAATTAAAACTTTGGTATAAAATGTATTAAATTGATCTTGCTTAGAACAGTTAATCAAGTGGGACAGCCGACCTTTATGTAAAACATTATTCCATCTTGTGAAAATCATTTAATATTTCAGAAGATCTTTGCTTTATCATATTTTGTGAACACAATTTATGTAATTAGTAATTCACGAATCATATATCAACTTAGTGTTAAAAATTTCCTTTTAAACGGAGATAATTGTCGTCACAACAGTTCTGCCATTTATTCATTTTTGGCTATGTATATACTTATATTATTCCTATTCCACATTATTGCCATGATTATGTTTTTGTGTTCCATGAATTTTTGCTCAACTGTCATTCTATGTCAGCTACTAGTTGTCTTTGCTGTTTCACATTACAATATGCTCTGTATATTAGGTCTGTATTGTCGCAAATATTTTTACTTAGAAGGTTAAAAATTAAATGCAATCGAACGAATGAATTTTTTAAATTTGAAAATTTAGCCTAGTGCTCGTAGGTTAATGAGTGTTAATGATATGCCACGGGTTAAGATGGATATTATTGCTGATATTGCTTACCAAAGCAGAGCATCTTTATCTTGTTAAAGAGATTGGTTTAAATTAAATATTGTGCGGTTACACGGACCTTCTCGATGATGTGTTTATTAAAACAGACCTCCCAGTAGAATAATTGGCCATATCAGAATACAGACACTAGCTAAGTATTGTCCTCTAGCTGTGCTAAGTGAAATAACAATTTTGTAATGATTGCTCGTCATAGTCGGAAAAACTCTTTTATTTGAACCGTTTTGAATTCTGCATTATAAATACTACGATTGGCTGGAAATCTAGGTTTTCAAATGTAAAAACAGGGTTTTCAGATCAGAAAAAATAATTGATGCCATATTAAATGCAATAGAAAATAAATGATTTAAATGCTAATTAATATGCATATAATTTAATTTGCATTTCAATGGATGGATTTGTAACAAAAGTTTACGGATTTATTTATAGCCTCGTTGATTTGCGTCAAAGTATTTATCATCGACGAATTTTTCCACTAGTTTTATTTCAAACGCAATTCACCTGAGGATTTACATATAAATATTAAAGGTCGTGAGAAAATGACCCCGAACTTCAACTGAAATACTTGTTTCAATTTACTCCATTGATATCTTTTATTATTTCAACCCTGCTGGAATTTAACACACAGATGGCGCTTACAATCTGAAATTTGATAAAAGCAAACTTAACCTATGTACGTCATTGGATTAGATATTTAGGATTTTTTTCTACAGAACAAAAGAGAAACAGTTTTATTCTGTAAATTCGTGTTGTTTTCTGATTTTTGAATGCTTCAAAATATCTAGTCTGCAATTGTGGTGAAAAGTGAGAGTTTCTGCTTGTATGGCATATATTGGTAAATGTTGATCGATTGGCAATTGTTCAGAAGATTTTCAAACATCTGTTCAGATGGTCATAAAATTTATTTTTGTTTTGCGCACTGAACTATACGTATAAATAAGATAAAATTAAACTTTGGTATAAAAACTATTAAATTGCTTAGAATAGTTAGTCAAATGGAACAGTCGACCTTTATGTAGGACTTTATTCCATCTAGTGAAAATCCTTTTATATTTCAGAAGATTTTGCTTTATCATATTATGTGAACAAAAATTATGTAATTAGTAAATCACGAATCATAAATCAACTTAACGTTAAAAATCTGCTTTTAAACGCGGATAATTGTCGTCACAATAGTTCTGTCATTTATTCATTTATGACCGTGTATATATCTATTCTACATGATTGCCATAGTAATGTTTTTTGTGTTCCATGAATTTTTGCTCGACTGTCATTCTATATCAGCTACTAGTTATCTTTGTCGCTTCACAATATAATATGTTCTGTATCTGTTGTTCGTTCTATCACGTTGGGTCTGGGGTCAGGTTGCTTTGTTAACTTTGTATTATTTGCTAGAAAAGCGTACGAAATTAAGTTAGCAAATGGTCAAATGCCAATCGTATGATCGCACAAATAGTCCACTCACACCTTTGAATAATTTATGTCTCAAATGGCTAGTTAACTCTCAAACTCATGATAAAGTCGCTGACGACATACCTTCCAGAAAAAAACGTATTCGCCATCTGGTGAATAATTACAGAATATTGTATTTCGTCAACCAGCTCAGACAATGGCAATAGTCAACTATCGTTCGATATAGCGCACATCGACAATATTCTTGATTTATGTTTTGTGATCAGCATGCAGTTGACAATCTACAGATAACGACCACTAGGGAACACGGCCCCGTCACAACGATAAATTATTGTCGAGGTAGCGCGCCCATACAAATAACTGTTTTGCGATTTGACATAGGGCGTACAGCAGTGCCGGATTTACCATTAGGCAAGGTAGGATGAAGCCTAGAGGTCCCGACATTCAAAATGTTATTCATTTTACAACTCGCTGTTCAATTTTGAAAGTTTAACCGGTCTAAACATTTTTAAAATCAGCAATCATTTATTTTTCTAATTGGGTCATAATTCTGTCGCAAATATTATCTATTTACAAGGTTAAAAATTAAATACAGTTAATGAATGAATTTTTCTAAATTTTATAATTTTCCTAGTGCTCAGAGGTTAATGAGTGTTAGTGGTATGCCACTGGTTAAGATGGATATGATTGCTGATATCGCTCGCCAACGAAAGCAGCGCATATTTATCTTGTTAAGAGACTGACATAAAATCGAATATTGAGCAGTTAACGGTTACGCAGACGTATATCGGTTACAGTCCAGGGGTCGGCAACCTACGGCCTGCGGGTCGGATCCGGCCCGCAGAGTAATATAATCCGGCCCGTGACACTTCACTGAATTATAGTAACAAAACAGCCGTTTTGACGAATATATTCTTTAGATTAAATTGTATTATAACCTAACAAGTATATAATTCACAATTACTCGTTTAATTAATGAGCATATGGTTTAAATATAATTAGACAAATACAAAACGCAGAAAATTTCAATGGCACTGAAAATATTTAAATGGAATTTTATGAAATGCAATGAGGAAATAAATCTATATTCTATTAATATGTATCGCTGCTTGATTTTTATCATAAAAAGTATCATCCGTTCGGTTTTCAACTTTCTAAAAATATGTGCGGTCCGCAAATGACTTGCAACCTTAATTTTGGCCCGCGAGCGAAAAAAGGTTGCCGAGCCCTGGGTTACACGGACCTCCTCGTCGATAAGTTTATTAACAGACTTATTTACTGCGTCACAGGACGCAGTAAAGCTAGTGCTATTTTGGTACCAGTTTAGGGGTAAGATAGTATATATTGACTTGTTTTTTGTTGGTTTGTGGACGACAGCTTATCGTCTGTTGCTAATCGATTAGCAACAGCAACGCCTCGACTACAAAATACGTCACGTCTATGTCAGACACTTTAACGAGACAATGTCTTTATTTATCAGCTTCCAACTTACGATCACGGTACAATAACATCGCAGCGTTGGTTCATTACGCAATTTCTCTTCCGCCGTAATATTGCGTCATATCGACACGCGTGCTTTTTCTGTACTGCTTGCTTAATATGACCATACATATAAAACTTTATGGCTATTTCTTTGTTTAAACCAAAAACAGTCAAGAACTGTATAATATTCCAGTAAGATATGAACTTAATGCCAACCTGCAGGTGGTCACGAGACGCGCAAAAAAGCATGGGCTGCAGGGATCTTTCCAGTATTTTGAGCCTGGTGCCAAGTTGCGATGACTTTGCCATTGTAATGTAATTCACTTCGTTTGAGCGTCGATCAGCTGCATAGGAATTAATATTATAAACCCGATGAAAAAGAAAAAAGATTGAATAAAATTGTAATTCTACTTTACAGTCCAGATTTAAAAAAGAATCACTGTCACTGTTTTGGATATCTCTTGATAACGAATACCCATCGCTATGTAATCGAGCAATCAAGCTGTAGTCCGTATTTTCGACGAGTCCTCGTTTGAAATATATATTGGAAACGAAATAGCTGAAAAATTCTCACTAGATTGAGTTTATACATGATTTGGCCTGTAGGCTACATTTTTTTATGTGAGATATTTTATGTGTATCGTTCTCACGCATAACGGGTGCCCAGCACTGCATTCATTGCGCAAATATATGGTATTGTTCTATGTTTCACCCATTTCAATTTGAGGCTGGCACATTATTTGATAGTTTTTCTTCGTGTTAAATGTTTTGAAGTGTGCCTTTTTTGTCTAGAAGCATATACTGAATGCCCGACGTTGCATTATATTACGCAACTGTATGTTATTCTTTTCTGTTTCGGTCATTTCAAGTTTTTGCCGGACCGCGAGTACATTTAATTTAATTTTACGGGTTCGCCAGGGTAGAGAGGTTGGGAACCACTGTGCTAGGCTACTGGTGAATGCGAGATTTTATTTGTTTCGTTGTTTTCCGCTAACAATTACAATTTGTGACGTGTAAGCCCTGTCTCTGTCTGTACCTGTAAATGTACATTTACAAAGGACTTAAAACGAGAATACCCATATTTAAAAAAAAACGTTAATGATAAAGATAAAGTGCACTGCAATCATTGTGTGGTTAAATTCAAATTATTTTGTATCGATACCGTCAATTCCTTCCATTTTCCGAACCGATATTTAGACAGACAGCTCATAAACTCTCGATATGGTCAATGAAGACAGTCGGTTGGCTTCAAATGTGGGCCTACGTAGCAAAATCGGAAAATGTAAAGTTAAAAAATCACAACTGGGGGTCTTGATCTTTGGAGGCGACCCGCTCTGTCACAAGTCACAAAAATATGGTAACCCTACTCAGTACCCATAGCTTGAAATATGTCATTCCCGCTACGTACAGTCAACAATAATATTCAAAAAAGATATTCTAGTTGATATTAAACAATAAAAAATGCGTTTTTTGCAGTTGAAAATTAATCTATTTGTGTCGGAATAAACACTAATGTAAATTTCCGTTCGCAATTCAGATTAATCTGACATTCTCCAATATGTTTTTATGTCGAGCTGTGTATCTACTTGAAGCAGTGGAATATAGAATAAATCGCAAATTGCAAGATACTTTGCTTATGAAAATCTTACATATTCAAATGACCCATAGATTCAGGAGTGCAATGGGTCGAAGGCTCAATAGGCCCAAATTGATCCGCAGATTCCAACAGTTATTAAAGGGATTGCTACCCAGGGGAGATTCTACTATGACGAATGGGTCAAAAGTTACGAGGTGTATTACGGAAACAATAATGCCGAAGCTCCTTATCACGAAAACGGTGAAGTAAAGGTAACAAATATTCTACTGTATTTTAAATTATGCACACAACACCATATACATAAATATACAATACGTTATGCGTCAGTGAGTATAAATAGCCACACTGTAAAAAATATTAAGGGCGATTTACAACCAAACGCGCGGCAGCAGCGATGCCATGCACTTCGTTGTGAACACCATATACAACTTCAGATGTATTGTATCGTTGCAAGCGCTTGTAATTTTACAACCAAATGTATGTACTAGGCAAAAGCAGTGGGTTGGATGTCTCCGATTTTTACAGCCATAGCGATGTTAACCTTAACTACAAGAAGAAGTTGTAAAACTAAACAACATCCGCAAAGTAACTCGATTAACCCTCATGCCACCACCTGGAGAAATGAAATACAATTGAAAAGAAATCACTTTTAATAAAATATGTGATCAAATATCAGCAACGAAATAGTATCAAATACACTCGAGAAGTGATCGTCTCCGCCAGCAAAATAGTTCATTTCATCTCTTCAAATAGGTGGAAACCATCTAAAAGATTCAACATTGCAGTGGCCCCCTGTCACTTTTTCTTGCACTGGCTGTTTATCTTGGCAATTCGGCTGGAAAAAAATGGCATAGCTGGTATAAAATGTAAACAAGTAGTTGAGTGAGAAGTCAACATATTTACATATGTTATAACTTGATCTGCTGGGGTAAAATGATTCCATTAGCAAAGTGGTAGATTCATATTATATTCAATGCTCAGAAGAAGTTAAATTTATTACAGGCTATATCATTTCTGAAGCTCGCAATTATATCATTATTTCTCCTAACAATGAAAATTGTTAAATAGAAAGACAAAAAACTATGTTTGAATTTTTTTGTCTATTCATTGCACAAAAATCAACTTAGTGCAAGGAGGATCACTATATACAGTAACATGATGCTCATATTTATAGGCAAGGCTTTTTTTATTAAACAGTTGAGTCCATACCATTGCCATCGAAAAAAGAAACACCAATAGGCTACAAGTTCCTCACCTTTCCAGAAATTCTTTTGTAGTGTTGATACAATGACAGACTTGATAAGGGCCAAATGTGAATGCCCCAGAGGTAAAATGGCAGGATATGTTTGTCCACTTTCGAACTGAAAAGAATTAGCAGATTGAAGATGTATGAAAATGATATAGGCCTAGGCATGAAAAGTTCATGACTGCCTACTGCAGTAGCTAATCTTGCAGTTTCACTAGAGATGTCTTTCCAGATGCATTTTATTTTAGATTAGTTCAAATCTCGAATTAGTCATTTCAAATCGCAGGGTAACTGAAATTACAATTTTACCAGTCTGCTAATAGGCTATTGTAATCCTTTTTCTGCTTTTAAGAATTAGGCTACATTGTCTGAAATTTTAATAAAATAAGAGACCTTTCTGCATTGGTGTAGACTACCTTGGTTTAGAACTCCAATAAATAGAATACCGGTAACAAAGATTAAACATGAGCAATTAAAAGTAAAATACCAGAATATGGTACAGTAGGCCTACAATAGCTCATTGTCTAAATGCAGGGATGGGACATCTAGTACGGCAATGCTGTAGTTAACAGGCCAATCCAATTAATGCAAAATTGATTAATAATGAAAGATGTGGCATAAATTAACTCACCTTCCAAAACCTGAAGATCTACCGGTAGTCTACAAGCACCAGTAGACTAGTCCAGAGTTTACAACCTAAGTAACGGTATTTCTTTTCTCCATACTTTCTGTTTTAAAACCTTCAGGCAGCATAGTGTAAAATATACAGGTTCACACTTTTAAACTAGGCTACTTCAATTGTTTTGAGAGTCGAACCAAGCTAAGCTGCTTCCTAGCGAAGAGTGGGAGTGGTGACTCCTCTGCGGCCCATGGGCCGGGGCCACGGCCCATCGAATCGGGCCTCGGCCCATCAGGCTATGGGCCGCGGCCCATCAAGTTGTGTAAAGACACAATTCATTTGGCTAACACAGACAGTCCCCGAACTCATAATAGAACTATAATGTAAAAAATCTGAATTTTTTTTGTCCTAACCCTAACCTGGTACACATACTACAGGAGTATATTTTTTTGGTTCGAATATTGACAATTTGGTAAGAATTGAAAATTTTGTCAGATAATTGAATTTTTCCTGATGGGGCCGCAGCCCATCAAGCTATGGGCCACGGCCCATGTGGCCCAATTAGATGGGCCGTGGCCCCGGCCCATGGGCCGTAGAGAAGTCACCACTCCTGTAGCTAGCGAAACTGGAATCCGCACTAAACAGCCATTTTGGCGGGAAAGTACGCAGGCTTTGGCGGAGTCAGAAAATTCAAATTCAAAATTTGAATCCGTTGCGATCTGGGATATTTCTAAAACTTAGGAGCATTAAGCAAATAGTTAAATTAAGAAAATATGCCACTCAATTCAAAATTATATTAACCAAAACATTTGCATATACTTTGGTCCGATAAAAGATATAGCGATACAGCGTAAAGCTACTAGATTCACCAGTAATTGGAGTCGTAACTGCAAGTAGACCTGTCCGTTTGAGAATGAGTGCTGTCAGTTGAATCACCAGTTTACATGATGCCTAAAATAAAATATCCTTCCACTCGATATAATATTAAGTGCAATATTAGGATTTTTTTTATCGTAAGCTATAAATTCTATGTCGAGATGACAAACGAAGCCGCAGGTTTACGTAGCATTGTATGACTTGCGCCTTATGACGCGAAGCCAAATTTGTATCAGTTTGGAACCAAATTCGTCGCACCAATGTATTTTTTATTGGCATGCATTTTGCTGATAATATGTGGAAGACTGTCTTCTGAGCTCTATGCTTTTGATTACTACCAAGTGGACTTATTTTAACATAACCGCGAGATAGCTGTTTTCAGTACAGCCGTTTTTGTATGTTACGTATAATTCATTGTATATTTAACAACCGTATGTTTGTTTTATGGTTATGCAACAGTATATGTAATTTTACATCGTACAAGCGGTGAAATTACAACACGATGATGTAAAAATACGTATAAATAGTTGCTCGTCCAAAATACTGCCAAACGATCGTATTTTTTACAAAGAAATGGCTGTAAAATTACAAAATTCTTTACAGTTCAGTAACTTTTTAAATCTCACGGATTTTCTTTGTTTTCAGAAATTTAATGCTAATTATGACAAAAATACTGTCGTCAAAAACTTCTTTCTTCACCTAATCACAACGATATACATTCGAATTGTACCCGTTGACTACTACCGTCATATGAGTCTGGGAATGGAACTTACTACATTGGGTTGGAGGCAAATTAAAGCGGTAACCCGGAATCATGACTACAGCGGCAAATAATATCAAAATGTGTTCACTTTAACTCTGTAGCCTATATTCAAAGCGCTTTCGTTGGTTGCGAATATATCCCAACAGTTATAATAACTAAATTTTAATGTTATGGCATGAGATTATAATTCGTTCCGGTGATGTGTTGCAGCCAGCCTAAACAGTATTACAAAAAATGCTTCTAATATGTTAGAAAAATTAGTAATTCCTCTCCTGTACGTTACATTTGGTAAAATATGATAATCAATCATTCAGCAGTTATGGCAAATATAATCTCTAACTGCATTTTGCTATCATGTGAGCAATGAGCATTTCCAAATTTTGAGGGATTTTTCTTTGAGAAAACCCCATCGCACTTACATTTGCGGGAGCACTTTCTCCGTTATGAAGAGGTTGAAATCTTACATTAAATGTAGATATAGCGAAACTTTTGCATGTTTCAGTGATTCTTCTGGCGTATTTTGTATAATTTAGCTTGATGAATGACAAACATTGATCAATCGTAAGCACAATAAAAGTGTTTGTTGTTTACATATTTCTGACGCTCTTGTGGCCCGCGAACAATGCAAAAATAATTTTGTGGCCCGCGAAGGCGACAACCTTGGACCACCCTGATCCAGATATTGCTTAACCTAAGTGAGAAACTCGCCGATTTTGTTCGAGGTAAAAGCATTTCTTTATCGAATATTGATATATATATATTCTGCAAACTTGTGTGAGTATTATTGCTAAAAATATTCTCGAAAGCAGCCAACCATGGAGTATGTTCATGTGCCGTGAATAAAAGCCAAAAACGATCGAAAATGTTGCGTGTGTGTACCCCATGAACATAACCTTTATACGTTAGCGTCGACAACTGTTTTATTTATTTTCATTACTTCAATCATGAGTTAATATGAAAAAAGACGTTCATCGAATAAACTCAGATTATATAGTGTGTTACTATTAAAGAGATGAAATAAGATTTGGCACTTCTCTTGCTCGAAGAAGATTTGTCCCAGATGCATAGACTTTGATTAAGCCGTAAAATGTAATATATTTTTGACATTTATAAGATGTACTCAAACGATTGCTCCGGAAAAAGGTTGGCATGTAAATTACGCATAGCCCGTGATTTCAATCTGCATTTCCAACGACTGACACAGTTATATCTACGCTCTTACCACTATAACATAAGATTGACTGAGATTAAATACGTCATTGCTGAAGATAAGAAGTCAAATGCGTTCATTTTCAATTGAAATAAATAAGCGCGTGTGTTCATAGGACCATCGTGTGATAAATGTTGATCACAATCAACACTATATGAAGTCACCTTGGTGCATTTTAAACTTTTGCTCCGGATATGAATGGAACGTCTTCTTGCTAGTGTGATTCACGTTTCCAAGAACGTTAACTCCGTTTCATCGTGTAATCATGCGTGGATTAGTTATAAATTATCATAGTTGTTAACAGCTTGTAAAAACAGTTGCATAATCCTATTCGATGAGACATATATACCAATAAGTTGTTATCTCCCATATGGTTTTAAAATTTACCTGTCAATTTCGAATTCTCAGTTGCGGAAACGAACTATCTGATTTCACCTGTGGTAAATATACAGGAAGTTAGGTCACGCTAAGAATCACACGTTTTCTTATTCAGAGAGTTAGATCTAATGTGACCAGGACCTAATTAATTAACCAGTTATAATTTGCCATATATAACGACTATACCAAACTTTCTTTACGTAACTGTATATGAATATTCATAAATGCAAATGGTGATTAGGAACAAATGATTAAGTATCTGTAATTGAATTCATTGCTGCATTCGTGAGGTGCTTTACTAGTGATCGGCATGTAGAGAAATAGTTTTGAACTTTTTCAGCAAATGTTTGAAAATATCGTTGTTATAAAAATAAAATTACAACAAATAGCTCTTTACAAAAATTGATGAGATAATGATACATCGTTAATGTTTTTTTTATAAGTAATAAATTATAAATCTCATTCTGTTAAGTGTATGAAATACTTCACAAAAATGAGTTAGTAAAATGTTTACAGTTGCAAGAAAAGTACTTTATTTTTAAAAATACGATTTGATCTGCCAGAAAAGAAATATTAGCGAAAAGAAGTGCTTGGATAATCCCGTGAATCGGTAGAGTTTTTTGGTGATTAGCAAAGTGAAAGTTTTAAAAAACTTCACATTATTACGGTAGCAGATACTGCTAACATCAACGAGGACCGAGTTTTCCTAGACAGGTGTCGGTTAAGCAAAGCACTAGCAAGTCATCTTGTCCCATAGTAAAGGCCCGATTCTATTATTATTAATCTGACCATTTATGTTGTAACATACGAAAATCTTAGTTGGCCAAAATATTGCATTCAGAAATGATAATTTAGTTTAAAAAGATATAAATTGCAATTTTTAAGTGTTCTTTTTGTTCGTACGAATTCATTCAACGTTTTTATACACGTGTCTGTGTCAAAGGGTTGCAAGCAAAATTGAAGTTTTTCAAACAACATTTTGTTGTATTATTCTATCACGGCGCATATCCTAAATATGTATATTAAACTAACTTACGCATATTCTTTTACCATAATGAATATTAAGAGTACAATGATATGATGAATTCAACGAAGCTCAACGATAGTGGCGGTAAGTATTTAATCAATTTCAACCATTAATCACGAAAATGATTCATCATGAATGATTAGTACGAAAATAAATAATCCTAACTAAATCAAGTTACACGGTTAAACAGATATTTTGGAGCACAATAACATGACTATATTTATCACAAAGGCAGATCAGTGATTGCAATTATGCATTTATTCAAAATGCATCTTGCTATGCCATTATACTGAAGTAGAACTGAGAAAACACCACTGTGTGGTCTTAATATCCCGACGCAGTACATAGAAATTCACTTCGATTCGGCTCGGCGGTGTGGCGCATCGTGCTAAGCGTTGGGAATACGCTCGCCACCGCATCTCTGATTACCCTTCGTGGGTTCGCAGGTTCGAATCCCATGCGGGGATGATCATGTGCGAGAGGATTGCTGGACTCCTCGCCGCCGTAGGGTGGTTCACGTAACCTCTGGTCGGTTACGGCTTCCTCAACCATCAAGTCCATGCTTACGAAAAAACAAATAACTGGCTAACTAATCCCATACCCGACCTGGACTGGTAACCGGACGAGAGGCCGTGGTTCGCCATATGATTGAGCCTTCTTATCGGCTTTCCTCTCCCCGGGATAAATATGTAAATCCTAACCTAAGTAAATTAAATAGCTATTACTGAAATGAAACATGCTTCCTGCACTGTGGTAAATAAGTCGGAGCGTATTGAAAAAATGTTAATTTTTTGTTTGATTGCGTTGTTTGTTTCTAGGGCACAACCTCATTTTCAGCGGAGATGAAGATCTAATACTTCATCAAAATGGAAGTTGTGCTATTAGAGAGTTTGATATTGCTTCGCTAATTATTCAAATAGTTATATCAAGTATTATCATACTTCCAAATGGAGCTGTGGTGAAAGTAATATTTACAGGTCAGTATTCGATCCGTAATTTCAAGTGACGACATGTTTGCCCCTGATGAGAACCATTGGTTAAACAAAAATGGATCATCCACATCAAATCACATGCTTGTTTACACGTGTGTTTCTTGTTGGACACAAAATGGATCGTTTTGTCATTCTGTTGTTGTTGATCGTCATGTTAGTATTTCTTTTCTTCTTCTTCTTGCGAAAAAATCCATTTTCAAAAAGCCATTTTCATTATCTATACTAAACCAAATGCTTTAAAAGTTTCAATCGTTAAATATTGTATTTCGCTACATGGAAAACTTTTTGTGGCCTCTAAGGGTTTCTGTGTGCGCGAGGGCGTCATCAAAATTTTAAATTTCGCCTCTTGTGGCGGTTCCGCTTTCGCGTAAGTTCGCATCTGCTGCTCAGCTGCGATACGGTACCAGCAGGCTTCTGTGACAGATTGCATACCTGTACCATTTCGTGTCCTTATAGGCTATTTGAGAATCGCTCTCTTGTAATTAGTAATTTATGTTTGGAAAATTGTAGACCATTATTGAAAATTCATAATGAACAGTGTCAGGTAAAATATCCTTTCGTATGTAATTTTTCCATATTTGTTTTGTATTTTGTATTTTTTTTTTATATTTTTGCAAATATTTTTTCAGGAAAGAGTCGGCTTTATCAAAAACCAGCCTACTACTTCATTGCAAGTCTAGCAATAGCTGACATGTCTGTAGCCATCTATGTTATCATATCAATACTTATCAACGACATTGCTGGAATCCAGATGACAGCGCTGTCCTGGGCAATCATGTATACTTGTGGAAGCATTCCTTTCTATGTATCTGTTCTCCATCTACTACTGATTGCAATTGACAGGCTGTGGTTTATTGGGTACAATAAAATGTAAGTTATTTTTCCAAATTCAGAATAAACGGAGGAACACACACGTAAATATGGAATAAAAGTATTGTGAATCCGTTCGTAAGTAATACGTTAGGCTTTTTTTTAAATGAGTGAAAGCGCACCGATCTCTTAGTAAGAGCTGGTATTAAATCGATCAACGACAAATCAACTAGTGACGCTGTTTCATTCTAAAATATTAGTAATCAATAGGATTTAATATAGATCCCCGGGAGCGTAAAATAACTCCAAAAAACTTATTATTGGCATTTCTAATTTATTTTTTTTGTTCTCGTTTTAATTGTTACCAGTTATCAAAAGTACATGTCACTGCGTACATCCGTGCTGCTCATTTTATTGTGTTGGATGCTTTCGTTCACGCCCATCGTTGTAGTGCTGCTAGGAGTCGGAGCATGTGGGGATTTATGTGATTGTCCGGACGATGGGGTTTTAAAGTGCAGTGATTTTAAATGTTCTTCCATATTTGTGGGTGAGTGCAGCCTATTTCGTCTATTTTATTGAAACAACTGTTTGATGTAGAGCGTACGCTTTCGCAATTTTATTAGCGCATTTGTTTTGAAAGCATGAGTATTTAATGTTGGAGTCGATACCGATACCGGTATAAGAGTCAGATTGCTTTTTTTAAACGGGCAAAAGCAAAGATTTTTTAAACGATGTATATATATATATATATTCGTAATAAAAATGCAAACATACACCTGAAAATACAGGTAGAATAGCTGTAAAACAAGCATGCACTTGAACTAATTTTTTATTTTTGGTTTCAGTGTACAAGAAAACCTATTTGCTTGGAAACGTTTTCTTTTTCTTATTCGTTATGGTCATCATATGTTTCCTCTACGCCACGCTATTTTGGAAGGTAGGCTATGTTATTCGGAAAGTTTTTTTGAAAAAAATTTAGGGTCAAATACTACTGTTTAACTTAGTTAAATTTGGTTGATATATTTCTTATATTTACTACTATATTTAAGGTTCACCGTAAGTCTCAAAAGGTTCGAGGATATTGCAATTCATCTATGCACCAAACGCAAAGTAGGAAAATGATGCGAGAATTCAGACTAGCAAGAACCCTGGCTATTGTAATTCTTGTATTCTTTGCGTGCTGGGGTCCTCTCATGATCGGATACATCATCGACTTCACCTTACCATTCAACGTGAGAATCGGAGAAACTGTTGGGAATTTATTGTCCGTAAGAACTTTGTAATTTTACGAAAATAAATTTTTGATAATAGGTCTATCTAGCATCAAAATAATATTTGTAAAAATAAATGGAATTATCTATATACCATACAAACATATCTCAAAATGGTACAGCCTCTCTTAAGACATCTCGTACAATTCATTTAACATTGGTCTCTGATTTTCGCTGACATCGCTGTATTCATTTGACCTTCGTATCCATATATTTAAGCATTTCACTCTTGTTTCATAATAAACTATTTCTTCTTAATTTGATGTTAAGAAACATATCAAATTTGTATTCAAGATCCCTAATCTTCTCAACTCTATTTCAAATCCAATTATCTACGCTGCTCGAATGAGGCACATGAGGGAAGCTTTAATACCTTGCTCCAAACGATCAAGAGATAGAAAATCTAGCGCGTCTTCAACGGGAAGTACTCAATCTACAAAACGTGTTTTTTTATCTAAAAAGAAAGGAGCAGGGAAAAATTCGAATGCAATTTGCAATGAAAGGGTATTTTTTCTGCCTACTATTTTAATTACATTATTAAATAAACATTGGGAGGGGCTCCCGAAGTATGCGAACCAAGATGGCGGACATCGGAATGTAATATGTGTACTAGGTTAGGGTTAGGCCATAAATTTAGGTATAAATACCACGGGAGGCTCTTGGCTAGTCTTCGAACTGATAATAGGACTAAAATAAGGAAAATTGGAAAAAAATTATCGCCTAACCCTAACCTGTTACCCATGTTACGTTCCGATGTCCGCCATCTTGGTTCGCATACTTCGGGAGCACCCATTGGGATTTAGGACTATTACTTTTATATGTTTCCATTGGAAACAGAACCCGTAATTTTATTCCCCAAGATTTTTGATTTGGAAATTGAATTTTCTTTGTTCAACGTGTTCGTACTGAATACTGAACGTCCGCCGGCAACGGTATTCTGTAGAGGAGCACTATTTTGTTGAGATGTATTTATTTGCATTTTAACTCATATAGATGTTAGAGATATAATATGTATTTAAATTTCAGCCAGTTTTTGAAAGCTCCGTTACAAACAACCTACAGTTTGAAGAAACGATGGAGACAGGTAGACGTCGTTCCAGTCAAACGACAGGTCGTGTTTTCAGCAGAAGTTCTTATAAACGAGGTACCAACAGTCTTGTAAATAATGTATAAAGTTACGAAATTTTAGAATACAAATAAGAGTTACGAGGACTATACCACTGAAAATAGTAAATAGATTGGCAAGTTAAACAAATGACTAAATTCAATTTATACTCAGTGCTCAGATTATACCTTATGCTATTCTTTTTTCATTTACAAAACAATTTCAGACATTTAGCACCATTTTAATCGGTAAAAATTCAATTGATAAAAGACACTACGTCGTGCGCATATTCATTATTGCGAGTCGTATTTAACTTTTAAAAAAAATATAAAGCGTTGATCTGAGACTTTTTTTAATTTTCACATTTTGCCACAAAGCTAACTGTATGCTAAAGCTTGAAATGATTTATATTTTTTATTTTTATGTTTATATTCCAGGTTCCGATACAGCTTCTCTCGATTTCGATAAAATCTCCGCTTTTTCTCCTGAATTCAAAGAAGTGTTTGAAGATGCAGAAATATCAATATAATTTTTTCTTCGTTGTAAATAAAATAAGTAGGTTAAAACGGGTTTTTATCAGCCGCAAATTTGTTTGGTCTGTGAAATTTTCCAGTAAATAAAATTACCTTGCCTGATATTTTTTTGTAAGTATTCCATCCTATGTTGAATAAACGTTAAAGATATTACAGATATACCTCATGAATAAAAATGCATTAAATTAATTGTAATTCAGTGAAAACATTATAGTTTGTCAAAGCTTTGGCGAATTTTGTTAGCATAACAGGATAAAAATCTCGGATGTACGCAGTGACATGTACTTTTGATAACTGTTGATAACTCGAACTTTGTTCGAAGTACATGACGTGTAAAAAAATGTAATATATATAAAAATAAAGTGATTTTAAACAGATTTAGTGTAATGAAGTACTACATTGCTAGAATGTACCTATTGTTCTGTTCGCTAGCACAATAGCTGAACGATATTTTTTACTTACATGCAGATTCGTTACGGAGGTTGTTAAACAAATAAGTAGGCTATTCGATATCCAAAACCTTCTTACTAAAAGCCACAAACCTGAAAGACTAGTGCTCATGTTTATTATGTCGAAACGTTGCTTTTTGCTACTGTTATTAGCTAAGGTAAATTAGAAGAGAGTTGAGGCAGCTGCCGAGGTAGGGGATGAAATTAGGGACAAGTTGGCAACAATGTATTTTTAAACTGACCACTAACGCCACCTTGTGACTAAGTTGAAAAGATTTATTTTTCACTGAAGACACGGTTAAGTTCATGTGTTATCGATAAAACATATGTTCAATCAGTCTTACATACAGAATAAAGCCGTTATTGCATTTGTCTTCCAAATCTAATTTAAAATTCCAACCGAATGAAATAAAACCCAATTAAATTTTAACAATTTTAGACATATTGATTGTATATATAACACATTTCCGGAATGTTTATATAGTATATATATATACACGTTTGTCGTAGTAACTAATTTTCGATTTATCAAAAGTCGTGAAATGCTAGTAGCATACTTTACTGATTATTAGGTAATAAAACTTGTCATGTTACGGCGACTTGATAAAGTTCTTGACAATTTGGATTCAATTGGAAGTAAAATGAAATGCTATTGGGCAAGAAGTCGACCAAAGGATAGTTTTGTTATAAGGCTGTTGATGTGAAAAATAAAATAAAAAAGCAGAGAAGGCGATAAAATAAACGATATATATGTATGGATTTATATGACTGGTGCTGACTGCATTTATAAAAGTTTTCAAACAGTGAGGCCTACAATACACCAAGAATCTTCTTGATAACAATAGGATTAGGGATTATTAATATACTTAGTGATAACGTAGTAAATAATGCAATTATGAGAGATCAGTTGACAGTACGATTAGATGCATGGATATATTTTTAGTTTCCCATTTGTAATTTACGTACTTTTTTTTCAGTTTAGCGGTGGTACAACGTTAACTAAAATATGGCTAACTTAATGGCTAACTAAAAGAGAAAAAATACTACAACTATACTAATATCATATTACCTGCTTTCTCGTACGAATTTCATACATCAAACATTTTATTTGAAATTCGAAACCAAAAATTGCCCTGTATGAGCCCAATATAAGTGACGTATTGAAGGCCTATTGGTGGCCAACGTTCAGAAATTTAACAGCGCAATACAGACATAAATACACGCTGACAGTCTTTCATGTCGCGAATGAATTTATTTCTGTTGTTGTTTTCATATATAGGACATTATCTGTGCGTGCGTTACGTATTTGTCGTGCGTAATTTGCGCGCCGTACAACGGCGAGCGTGGAGTTGAGCGGTTTTACGCACAGCACAAATCAATCGCCCGAGGAAATGTATTATATATAGTTTATTCGTGATCAGCGTAAAGCAAACTGCTTTATGCGGCACTTCGAGTTCACGAAGCAAAGTTTCATTTGAACGGGTATATTTAAGAGAAAGATACCACAAAACAACATTTGCGATTGCAAAGATTGAAGGGTAAAAAGTAAGCAACTGTGTCGATGGTGTTAAATGTCTTTCATAAATTAGTAACGACTAAAGAAAGGTTTCAGCAAGTTGAAGTCGTAAAGCAACGTAACTCACGCTTCCATAAAAGGAAATGTCACGCGACGACGTCAACAGTGCGTCAACAACGCCTTCAAAAACTAACGCGGGAAAACCACGATCAAATGTACGGTCTTGAAAGCCGAGCAGGGAGGATATAATAAGATAGATACATAATAAGCAAGATATATGATGTGCATTAGGGATAACATTTAGGCTACAGCAATTTTAGATCATGAAATTGTTTGAAATAATATTGAGCAGGCAAGCAAGATTAAAGTATATTTCAAATTAAGTGAACATAAAAGGTATGTGGAAGTACGGGTTCATTACGTACTTTCTCACGTGTTGATATAATATTATACAACGACAGTATTGTGCCTGTGTGTTGGAATTGTGGATGATATCACGCATGTTCTGTGAACACATATCAGTAAGATTAAATCAAATGTGAAACAAAACATTCAAGCACTTATGCAGTCGATAATTTCAACTTTTGATATACAGGCAGTTTTAGCAAGAAATAGTTTGCATGCCATTGCTCGAGGAACATCATGATATGAATCACCTCGTTGACTAGGATTGAATGCCAATGAAAGAATTGTTGAAGCAGTACTATTGATAAAACTGTGTACTTTAATTTCGGTTATGATTTTATTTTAACAGTTGCGTTAATTGAGGCACTGCACATTCCACCAAATGTTTCAACTTTCTGACGATGCTTGAATAATTCACAATGTTGGAAACTCGTTAATTTTGCACTCATGCAATATGTAACGTCTTCAGTTTCTTAGTCAGGGCTTTCCGTCGTACTCTATCAAAGTAACGTATCCTAATGATCACTAACTTTTATGTTTCGCCAAGTTGAAAATGCAAAATCTCAGAATTTGACTCTATCAATAGCGACTTCATTTCGAATATTCGGTAAATTGGTTTGATAGTGCCGCTGTCGATTAGTGTTTACATCAGAGCTTCTCAACCTCAATGTTAATAAGTACCCATTGGAATCTCGATCTAGGCAGTTCATATATCGCAATCGCCCGTGTACCCCAAAAATTACCTTGCGGGTTGTGATTGGTCGAAATAAGTCATGCGAACTGGGAATGTAGACTCTGTAGTTACTGTAGTTGTAGTTTAAGCTACTACTGAGGTGAAAATATGACTTTCTGAAGTGTTGCTAAACTGAGGTTTTGAAATTATTGACATCAGGTGATAAAATATTCTAGGGCAGATTAGAAATTATGAAAAGAATAATGTTAATACTCAATCTAATGTGCACCCTGAAAAAAATTGAAATGTACCCATTGGGTAAATGTTTAAATCACATCGATATTGCAGGAGCTACTATTTTTGGGAGGACCAAATTTTTCCCGTTTAGCTTCGCCTACCCAATTTATCACACCCTATAGGAGAAGAAGGGGATTTTGACCCGAAATGTGTAATCTGCAAAGCGAACACAGATAAGTCCAACGCTTGGAGATCAGCAGCATTTTGTTTGCTGGTTGCAATCTCACGCTCAAACTATCATCCGGTCGGACTCTGTTACAACTTTGTAACGACCATTCTGATTTATTTGCGTAGATATTGATTACAATGTTGGTGAGGTCGTCGAGGTTACGCAGTATCACGTTCAGGGAAAGTTTCGATGACAAGAAGCACGAAATACAGATGCCAGACAAGTTGGCAAGTAAAATTTAAAACAACAGCCTTGAATCGACTCCAACTGAAGATACTTCGAGATGCTTGAGGGAAAAAAAAAAAATTATTTATTTAAAATAGTAGGAACGTGGCGTTGTTAGAAATTTGGTTTGCTAGCATTTTTGTGGCTTCCGTACTGTATGCAAAATACGTAATAAAATCGGAACAAAAAGGACATAAACTTATAATTTATTGATATTTCAATTTTGACTGAACGTTGCAATTGTGAATTTTCGCCAAATTCCCCAATTTAAACTTGGCATTTAAGTTTTGGTAAGAACTCGACACCTCGTTATCATCCAGCCAATCATGGCAAACTATAATTTTTCATACATTTGTTGTAAATACCTATGGATCACACCAGAACATCTAAGGGCCATATATATATTGTTATTTCGCGCTTCTCCGGAAGACTCCTCCTTTTTATGCAATATTCATGAGCTAAGGGTAACCTATGCAAACGTAAGTTTTCACTAAATTAAGCGTGAGGCGAGATTCAGCTAAACGTTTAACGACCTATCAAACCCGATTCGATTATACTTGAAGTTGCCGGAAATGTTTATCCAAATCCAGAAAGCAATTAGGAACGTTCCAAATGTGTTCGGTATAATCATTTTAAAACCTTAAATGGTGAGTGATACGCAGGAAAGTTCCGTTTGGGCGTAGTTCAAACTGAGCTATAGGGTTGCCTTTTAAGAGGTAGAATCGATTAAAAGTTGAAACATAAATGACTTTAATCGCTAAGCTAAAAATGTTAAGACATAATTTAGTAAGCAATTTCATTGTTGTTAAATATCACCAGTGCAGAAATTTATTAGTATTTTCCCACTTTTCACAAAATAGCTCCGAAGTGTGTGGAAGTGTGTGTATAGCGTCGATTACTGCGATCATTCGTTTTTCAGAGATGGTAGAGGCAATCATGAGGTACTTTAATACCAATCGTGAGACCACAATAATATCAACCATTAGTGAGCTGTGTAATAGGATTTAGATTCCTTTTAATTGATCATTAATTCTATAATCACCATATATTGGCTTTAATTGAATATATTTTTTTATCTCGTGAATTGTTAGGTAAAATGGTCGTCAAATTCAACGCCAATCATACGTGGATATGACGGTCTAATAAGTTCACATTCGTACTATATAAACTGACCGAAGGTTTACTGTATTTACAATTTCGTTTTGCTTTGAATTGCTCATAGGCTGCATTGAAGCAGTATAGCAGCTTAATCAATAAGAATGACATCATTCGTTTCCTGGGGAGTATGACGTAACCGCATGTGGGCATTTTATTGTACAAGATTAAATATGCGCGCTGTTTAAATTTGAAAATTATTAGGAATCGATTGAAAGTGCATTTGCATTGAAATAGGGTGAGATTTTTATTGTGAGATATTGATGCTAAGTCGACTTCGACTGTAACTAGATATAAGATGATTTCATAAATCGGAAGGTATTGTGGAAAGAACTAAAGCATAGAAATGCTGTTTACAATTAGAGAAGAATATTGATGAGAACTAGACGCTAACCTATTCAAACAATCCGTAAATATGTCTATGTATTTAACTGATTTTTATGTCTGTTTCAAGAATATCATTTATAACAAAAAGACATTTTAAATTTTGCACTTTTTAGTTTCAAACGTAAACGGATGCAATTAATATCGCTGATACAATGACGGATTCAGGATGTGGATTTTTCATGTCAAAGGCAGGGATATTAAAACTATTGGTTTTAATAAGTGGATGTGCATGCTGGGCATTATATGCTGCAAGTCGACAATACCGAAGTCCCTCAATTAAAGTTTATGCTTTTGCTGCATATATAATATCATGGGCAGTCTCGTTGCTGCTGTATTTCTTCAAGATTACAGGTCTGTTAGATTGTGAACATACTTAGCCTACCTAAATTAATTTTGTCCAGGTGCTGGTTTCGAGTTGTGGTTGGAAGTCACACATATCTACTTATTGAGAGTTTGTCACCAAAGTAAAGTAATTTTATCATATATATATGAGTTGATAGTTTACCGTTAACTCAATCTCATTCCCATAATGGGGTTGTACTTGCTGATTCACACTCAATAAGAATGAATTATAAAAAGTGTCATCATATTATAAAGAATTCCAATAAAATTTCATGACAATCATCAATGTAGGATAATCACCCTCGTTTTAATATATCACTTTTTTGTTTGTTTTTCGAATAAAATAGGCTTCTCAGTTTCTATTGGTCAGGATTGTGGGCTAGTTGCTGCGATTCGCTCCGATTACCAAGCCCTATATGACAGTCATTACACTGTTATGTAATAACGTATTGAAAACGTTCATAGAAAGGAAAACATAATTATAAACCAACTTTAAAAACAACCTTCCTTTTTAGGTCTCCATCTGCACATACAATCGGAATGCTTCACTTTCAACACTTTTGATTATTTTTGGTCTTGGCTGTCTTGCATTAATTACATCGTATGTTCTGTCATCGTTGCAATTTTCTTTGGAAACGGAGATCCGCTTTGTGGTGGTAGTGGCAGGTGAAGTTTATTTGCAATGTAGAAGAGCTAAAGCTAGAACAAATTGAATGAAAATATCTTTTTTCGTTGTGAATTAGTGTTAATGGAGTAATCTATCCACTAACGAGGGGCGGGCTGAATAAATTTCCACATTCAGGAGCATTGAAATTGAAAAGTGTGGCATTTAACACGATTGCTTTTATTGTGAGCCATGCACACAATGGATACCTCCTCTAAAATAGTTGAAGTTGTGCACTGGTTTTTATTTATTGTTCTGAATAAAACTTCTTTCCTAGATTTTGCTCGTTCGCGATGCAATTGACTGCATGTGTTCTTGGATTTGTTACAGCAATCTTATATGCTATTGAAGCTCAAAATATGAAAAGTTATGCTCCTGTTGGCGCAGGTAGGATGTATAAAAATTATAAGTATGATATATTTTGAAACTTGAGAGAACCTAACATGAGGAAATGTATTGATTCCATAGTAATGCAAAATTATGTGATATCGGACTGCCATACGAAGTTTGTAGAGCACCATCTCGTTTAATCAGGCTATGAAAACTGCGCGATAGCCTGCTTTAGTCAGAATTTCAGTGACACAAATGGAAAGAATCTTGAAAAATACGAGATGAATTAAAATACCTAAAGGAGGGTTGTTTCATGCGATTTTTTTCGAGAAAAACTTTTTTCATTGCAACAATAACACTAATAATTTTCTAAACCGATTAATGTCTCGTAAACTATAAGGATATAAATTTTCGTTGAAGTGTTATAGGTCAATCATGTTAGATTTAATCAAATATTTACATAAATTATTACAGGTTATGGTACAACATGGCGAGGAATCTGGAAAGCAATTATTCTTATACTGGGCGGTCTAGCGTTTGGGCTTCTTATTAAAACCGGATACAGATGTGGGTCGGAGTGAGTACCGTTACGAATTCTTGTGTAAAAAAAACAAAATTTCAATAGACCATATTAGATAATGTTGGAGGTAAACGTATGTTCAATAAAGTGCCACTGAATAATATATAATTAAAAAGCTGAATTTTAAAAATATAAAATATATATATTGTTTTATTATCATAGTTTCCCAATAGCAATATCAGCTTTTGATCCCGAACACATAAAATACTCAAATCAAAACTATTTGTTTTACTTTTCAGCTGCACAATAGCAAGGACTTTTGTTCTTGTGGCCTGGTGTGTCGCCTGGGGGGTTGCAGCGTTAATGTACTTGCTTCGACTGATTACATGCCCAGCCAGAATGGTGAGAAGTGTTCCTAACTTTACCTCAGTGTTATTGCCAATCAGATCATGTACCCATCAAATTTTTTTTAATAACTCGTATTCGTTTGAGGTTTTCTTTCCAGGCTTCGAAATGAACAATTATTCAGCCGGATGTTTTTCGTGGCTATGAAAATATTCATGCTCGAAGCCACTTCATATTTGAATGATCTCTTACTTATGCTCTTAGTAAATTCTGCAATCAGAATCGTATAGTTTATCTCTTTACCTCAAAGAAATATATTTGCTAAAATATCCAAAATATGCTTCGTTTTGCAGTCCGCAAATAGACAAGTTGGATTTGGCACGTTTGAATTCTTTTGGTCTGCATTTGCATGTTTACTTTACCTTGTTGGAGCTGCTGTATTGGCAGCATTTTTGAATTGTAAGAGATTCAGATCTACTGGTTGCAGAGAAATACTAGCAGGTAAAGTAGGCTACATACTTTCACTTTGATCTTAAAGCGTGCACTACTGCCTTAATACATCCATGTTATTATCCATTGTCCTCGTTACCTCAGATCAGGGTTTCCCAAACTGGGGTCGTCGTGATGACCTGACTGCACAGGGCGTCCGCAACGATATGAAAAGATGATTGATTTTAATCAAAAAGTCATTGCATCTTTTTGTTTGAGCCTTGCGGACGAATGTCCATTACTGTCAGAAAAGGCAATTAAAATTTTATTACCTTTTACAAATTTTTCAGCTCTCACCAATATGAAACAAAATACAGGTCGAGACTTTCCGTAGGGTCGAATATACATGTTTGCTCGTCACAAATTGCTAATTGTGATAAATTGTGCAATGAAAAGTAACCTCACTCATCGCATTAATGTAATTTGTGTTGTTGTGTTGTAAATAAAACATTATGCTTTATAGGTGATTAGCCAAAGAAATTGAGGGACTCCCGAAGTATGCGAACCAAGATGGCGGACATCGGAATGTAATATGTGTACTAGGTTAGGGTTAGGCCATAATTTTAGGTATAAATACTACGGGAGGCTCTTGACTAGTCTTCGAACTGATAATAGAACTAAAATAAGGAAAATTGGAAAAAAATTATCGCCTAACCCTAACCTGTTACCTATGTTACGTTCCGATGTCCGCCATCTTGGTTCGCATACTTCGGGAGCACCGAAATTGATACGGCATAGGTTGGGGGGTCCGTCAAAACTAAGATTCACAAATAGAGGTCGCGGCCTCAAAAGTTTGGTAGTGTCGGACATTGGTTAATTTTGATAATTCAGCTCAATTAATACCTTCATGTGTAAAATTGTTTTTGTGCAGCTGATATATGTGGATGGGTCACTGCAGTATTGTTTGCAATCGACGCGTTCTGTTTGCGAGAACACAGGCCGGTGTGGTTTGTGAATAGAAGAGTACAGAGCAGTGGAGGTGGAAGTAGAACTGTCACAACTACGACAACTGAACGACGAACGAGATCGTAGACATTGGATTTGGAAACTATGACTGAAATTGACTCTTATCTAATTTTAGATGTTTGCTAAAACGTAACCTAATTTATGTACGTACTAGTAAGTTTACCAAATTTCAATACTAAAACAATACTCTACATAGGTTTATTATTCGCATTAAAACCGGGTTTTCGAGTTTTGGGGAAAATAAATAATAGCAAATCAACTAAATCACAAATCACTGAAAAGATATCTACATTAGAATTAGTACGCGTATGGCGTAAATACTGGAGTCGTAACCATATCAATCTGTTTAGTTTTTCCTATTTAGTGCGGATTGAGAAGTACAAAATGTTTTAAAGTGTGATATGTGTAATGTGAAATAGCTTACAATCATAAATATAGTAACAAACACTCAAATGTGAGATGTATATGCGAGAACATATTCCAGTGCCGTCCGTTATTATTTTGTGTATTATTTATTCGAACCATATGTTTTTATCATTTGATTCATCAATACATCTTAATACATAAGTAAAATTAAATTTCGAATTGCAAGAATGATGTTTAAATAAACTAAATTAGCTTCAAATATTCAATTATTACGATTTCTAGATATAGAAAGACAATGTTTTTGAATAGGTTTTTTTTTTGTTACCGTTGAGTGATGTTTGTTGCATGTGCTTCTCAGTTATTATTTTGCATAGTTGTTACGATTTCTGTACTAGCCATATTCAACATTCCCACAACTTACTGCAGCAACTCAACCCGAATTAACATATAAAAATTATTTTCTAAATTTACCCGCGACCAACAAATTGTTTAAATATTTTTTGTTGAATGGTGTATATAAATTTATGAGTATTGCCATTAGATATATTCGCGTTAGATAGGGATCCAAATGTCATACATTTTCGATAAATTTTACTTTTTACTGTTTAGTTTTATACATTCCAAAATATGTTTTGGCAATCCAATTTCGAGGATATTACTCTTTATTACAAGGGCATTTATTAAAGATAACAGATATATTGTCTTGCGTTTGAAATTTTCAATTAAATACTTATTTGATTTCTTCAAATTTTATATCAAATATCATTTTTTACAGCAGCTGTGTAATTCTAAAGATTTTTGTGGAAATATTTGTTTCAACGAACAGTTGTCATTGAGATTGTCGTACGAATTCTACAAGAGCCATATATAGTACATGGTTTTATTAATATTCTTCTACTCGTTGTTTATTTCGTGAAATATAAAATTGTTCTGCAGATATCTTGTCTTTTTAATCATAACTGAACGTAGAGCTGCTGTCTAGATACTGCTGTCTTTATTACTCCAGAATGCAGGTCTACATGGACACTTACACTCAAAATGGAAATACATATCTTAAAATGTGTAATGATAAAATGTCAATCAAAATGTCATATTTACGTAGAAATGGAGCAAAAAATCATGAAAGTTCGATAAATTGAAAAGCTAGTCATAACATGTACTTTGGTTTTTAAATTTGGCCTTATTTTATCCTAATCATAGGCAGCCGTAACCGTAGTACCGGAGAAAATTCAAAAAGGCTGTCAAGGTGTGAATTCTTCTGAAACGTTTTGCCAAATTTTTGCCCTCGTCGGTGAAACATCGCTTTTCGAAAAAATCGATGGATCAATCGTTTTCAAATTTTCACCAAATAGAAATGACTGAAGCCTTGAGAAATCAATTAAATTTGCTCATTTTTTCTGAACTCTATGGGACATAATATTTCAAATAGAATTTTTTTCTGTTATTTCAAATCATAGAATCACTTTTTATTGCGTCACGCTCAACCGGCTACGTCATGCTTGTCCGTCGATCGTCTCAACAAGATCGGTGCTCTATAGAGTATTATTCATAGAGAGTAGTTAGTATTCATCACGTGCAGGTTATATTGACCGAAAACATAACGATTTAAGAGAGTCTTGTATTGGCACTATATCTGAATGATGACTCTTTACTGATAAATAAATTTATTTCATTTTTTCGTGATTAGATATCAGTTTGTATCGTTACACCATTTACTATACTATTCGCTATATGGATTCACTAAGAATTTTAATCAGACCATCCGAATTTAATGGTTTCCAATTAGTATGTATGTCAACTTGTGATATAAAAATGCGCTAACAACGTGTTTACAGCAAATAACATTGCAAGAAAGGGTGGTTGCAAGCAGACCAAGTGAACAGCACTTCTTTTGAAGTTACCAAAAAATAAATAAAGTTTCTGTTCAATCAAACAACAACTAGCCGTGATCATAAAACTTTATATTTAGATTGATAAAGAATAAATGTATACTGAATACGGCGAATAAGGCAGCAAGAAAAATGATATGGAACAGAGCAAAAGTGCAACAAATTATACAGAATGGAATTATTTCCACTATTTCAAGGAGTATTCGGATATTTGAAAATTAACTTTGGACGGTACTCTCTGTACTCTCTGTACCACATCCAATTATTTAAAGCGATTGGGCTTTTCTTCTTTTACTTTGTCTGGACGAAATAGCTGTAGATTCTGGTAAGCTGACGGTCAAAGCTGATGCAGTTGCCATTGCGATAAGCTCTTTCGCAATCCTGTTAAATATAGTTAATATAGGTAAATTCATTGATAAATTAATTGTCAAAACAGCAATAGAGATGACAAACGACACACACAATATACTGGTCTTGCCATATATAAAAAGGAACAACTAGACATGGTATGTGAATGTGTATATATAAACGATTACTAATGCGAAAAACATTCATTCCACCTTCTGCCAGGATTTGCCAGTATGATTAATCACATTTGCCACTTCGATATTCTACAGGTAACTGAGGCACCTAACGAATTTATATAATTACTGATATTGTAAGGGACGCCGTTTCAGCACATTCGAACTTTTTCGTTGTTTATGTGTAAAAAAAAAATGCGCCATGATCGAATTTTAAAATATTTAATAAAATAATTTATAATCGTTAGATGAAACAGTATTCAGCGTTCGGTTATAAATACTAATATCAATACAGTGACTAACATTACCAATCATGCGAATAGTTCATAATGCAGTTTGAACGCCATACTAAATATACATAAAAAAAAAACTCTTGAAACAGAACAATATTCATCAACATTGGATTTAAACACTGAAACAAAATCCGTTATTTATCCAACAACAATTTTGGGCAAATGAATAGGATATGATTTACATATTTATCCCGGGGCAAAGCAAAGCCGACAATACGGCCTAATCATATTGCGAACCACGACCTCTCTTCCGGTTCACCAGGTCATGTCGGGTATAGAACTAATTATCCAGTTATTTGTTTCATATGCATGGGCTTGATGCTGGATGAAGCCCTAACCAACCAGCGGGGCGCGTGCGCCACATCACCGGGACGAATTATCGAACTACGAGGTGATATTTCTAAACAAAATGTGACAATGTGAAAGCCGGCGTTTTCATCTTTGGTGATAGCTGATCAAACATGCACTACATGAAAACCATTTTATGTGGACAAATTCAAATATTTTAATGCAAGATACATATGAATCACGTTGATAAGTAGTCGTTGTTAGTCTTGCTAGAATTTTTGGGGGTTGTCTGCAACTACTGGTCCAACCGGTTTCAAATTCAATATTCCCTTTTTTTACATGTAAATGGAAGAAAGCGCTAGAAGGCTATTACTATAACTCTTATTGATATTTTTAAACTTTTCCCTGAGGCCTCAATATTCCGCCAAAAATTTTACTGTTTTATTCTGTTCCACGGAAAACAGAATTTTCACATTCGAACTTGACATTACGCAAGACTAGTTCGCCATCTTTTCGAAAAACCCAATGCTCAGCTATAAGACAGGTTTAAGGACAGATTTAAAGCCTTTAAAGGTTTGCGTGCAGGTTGCATAGACTGAACAAACCAAACCAGATTTTCATGCAATATGAGTTTCATGCAATATGAGTTAACGCAACGTAACACATTAACAGGACAACAAATTTATACGAGGTCATTCTTCCCAATTACAAAATACTTGTTTGGTTTAGGTTGATTTTGAACTTTTGTCGGTTTATTTTTGTCCCCACTATGATACTGACGTCTTGTATAATTCCATAATTCCGCAGGATTCTGACCAGTGGGCTGACCTTCTTGTGCCCCTGTCGTCATCGAACCAACGTTACGACGGACAGCATCGAACAAATTTTCCTGGAAATAAATTTTAATAAAAAAAAAATAAGGTAGTGAAAAGAATAGGGCTAGGTAGCGCGAGGGGAGAGATGGATCGCGCAAGATTGATAATCAGGGACGGAAATCAACAAAAATGTGCTTCCATAACTTTGGGAGTAAATGAAGAAAGAAGATTCATAACACCCTATAACCATGGTGTCAATGTGAGCAGCACGTTCACCAGCAACTCTGGGACGGTGCTCGATAATCTTCCATGTTCCAGATTTCCACACTTGACGACTTGTATAATGTGTAATGCTTAACTTGTTATGTATGAATGTAAATTTTTGTATTGACATACAATTAATTCCCCCAAAAAAGAGGAGAAATTAGCAGGATAATAGGAAAGATACAAAAAGAAAAAAATTGAAGATTACCTATAATCTGAAATAAGATGATAAAACGACGGTAATGAAAAGTACGAAATAAAGGGTAAAGATAAAAAATAAAACAGAGAAGGAGTAGAAAAATAAGTAAATAAGAGAAAAAATTCACCTGAAATTTTTCAACATTGTTATTCCTATCATTCTCTTCCGTTTCTCCCATTAATTCTTCAGGGGTCAGCTTACATGCGTCACTTCAAATAAATAGATTATTCAATATTTAGTAGAAATTGAGCTCAGTATTTTATACATAACCATCGCACTCGATCATCATCTCAAGGGTCCCTTTTTGTCCCCAGATGTCAATCGAAGCGGGCCCAAGACACTCACAGATACACTGGTGTAAAAATTTGGAATGATCTACCTTCCAGCATTAAATACTTGAGATATCCCAATTTAAAAAAACAGTTACGCAATCAGTTATTCTCTTTGTACTCTTTATAAACATGTATTACTTTACCCCTATTTCATGCATCTGTACTTTTATGATTTCAGTGTATCATGGACAGGCTTGTGATTCTATTTTGATTGATATATCTTCACACTTATGAAATGTTTTTCCTACTCAGTTAAATCGATTATAAGTACATTTTATATTACTCAACTTCCTCTATGAATTCTTCTTCGAAAACGTCTAACTGCTAGAACAGCATTGTATCAAAATAATAATATATAGGGGAAATCCCTAATTCTGAAAAAAAAACATGGCAACCTATTGTCTTGTAGCGCCATCTCGAGGCAATGCTGTTCTCGTATAAAAGCGTTTACCTGTGTCCGTTTCTTAAATTTTAATTAATACAGCTATTGCAAGGTAGCCACTGACAACGACAAGTAGACCGAATGGTCATTTTGCGGTCATCCTGTCCGTTCTGGGCAGAGGCATGTATATTTTGTCAATTTTGCTTCAATTTTTTTGTGCCCGTTTGCCTGGACGGCTAATAAAACCGATTTGATTGGTTGATTGAGGAATGAATATTAGTTGACAAAACAAAGAAGGCAATGCTTAAATATATGAACTCCGTGCTTATAAAAGTCTTCCTAGGTGTCATATAAATGTGTTTTCACGAATGTAAACAGAACAGCACCGTTTTGGGCTGAATAACTGAATCCTATTGGATTTTGAGGAAATGTGAAAAATCAAAATGAAAGTGATAACCATCTAGTCGGACTCGGATTTAACCATTTTGAAGTATTGGAAATTTGTATTTTATCGTTCCATTAATTGTGGAGCAAAGCGACTTTTCACAACACTAACAACAATTATGAAAAATGATTCATATGTACACTGCGTGCCGAATAAGAGAGCGACAGAGAGAAATAGTAACAATGAATGCTTACATCTATCACAAGTACTTTTTGATTAATTTCAATGTTCAAATTATGATTCGCACCTGTCTAGATTGTACAAATAATTAAAATTTGACACGATGACAGGAACAGGAAATGCAATTCCAAGAATTCCCATGATTGCGCAGAATGCCCCAGTGATTCTGCCCCATGTTGTTATGGGAACAACGTCCCCGTACCTGTAACAAAGTATTTACCCTGTTAAGATTCCATTTAAGTATCAAATATATTTTCTGCAATCAAAATAAAAATGTAAAATGCTCACCCAACAGTTGTCATGGTGATAATCGCCCACCAGAACGACCCTGGTATGCTTTTGAACTGAGAGCCTTCAGCGTCGTATTCAACATAATAAACGATGCTTGAAAAAGTAACTGCTAACACCATCTGCAAAAACGTGTGAAATTGTTAGTGTGTTATGACGCCTAGTGTAAAAGAAAACTAATCTAATAATCCAGCAAGTACCGTTTTTCTCAACAAGAGAGTGATGCTCAAATATATGGACACGAAAGCCATTTCGAAATAGTACGAGTAGTCACAGTAGATTACCGGTACCGCAATCTTCGTGATTTTGTCTGACCACCAGAACTAACGCGAACGCGGAACCGCTACAAGATGTGCAATTTTTTTATTTTGACAACGTCATCGCACAACAAAACGAATCTTGTAGACCCTGTTCTATGGGTCGGTGACTAAATTTTCCGGATCCAGACCAATTTTAAAATGATTCTCACGCGATGGACACGAGGGCAAATAATATATAAGTGTGTTCTCATATAGAATTTCAAATCGCAATTAAAATATACCGCCGATACCGTAGGACTGGTAGGAATGTGTAGAAAATGAAAAAAGCCTCCATTACATGACAAAAAAAATTTAACAAATAGAACAACGCCAGCAATTTAGCAAAACGATACAAGTCCCACTTGGTATTCAATACCATGGTGAATGCGTTCTTGCTTCTAATAGATTCATGTATCAAGGTGTCATAATTGCCAAAATTTGTATAAGAAAGTATTGTGGGATTAGCTTAGGAATAGGCGATGGGCGTTTGAAATATTAAACAAAATATGTTTAATGAATACTGGTATATGGCAAATCCGCAAAATAAGAATATAATTAATAAGAATTGGTTAGCTGTGAAGTGCACCGGTAACACTGAAGAGATATTGAAACTTCTGAGAGACTATTTTGAAACTAATTACACAATAACCACTTCTGTTTTCATTATATAGATGCAGTAACTGTTGACTACATTTTGGCAAATTTTTTGGAACATTTACATGGAAGTAAGAAAACCTAGGACATATGTAAAAATCCCATGAAACATTTCTCTGCAGAATACAGTCATATACTTCAATTACCTTGTGAAATACCGTGATAACCTTCCATAAATAAAGCCGATACTTTTTTTAACGTTATCAAATCCAAATACTTTGATCATCAAGTCTAATGTTTTAAATCGAATTCAAATAAACTTTTAAAAAATTCATTGACACGACCTATGGGGCGTTTTGTTATTATGTTTTGTTGTTCTTCTTCTTATGCTCGTTTTTTCTCTCGTTGGTGTGGCAAATTATCTTTTCATTAACAACTGGACAACTTGCTTGGAAAATTTCAGCGGTTATAGATTGTATTTATACGAAAAGAAATGTCGCCGTGGGATTCGTTTTTTGCGTGCGATTGCGTTATCAAATTTAACAACTGCGCACCTTGTGGCGGTTCCGCGTTTGCGTTGGTTGCTTCTGGTGGTCAGGCGAAGTCGGAAAGACTGTGGTACCGGTAGCCTACTGTGGCAGATTACATACCCTTACTACCGTACTTCGTGTACATATATTGCTATTTTGTTGCTTCTACAACATGAAAAGAATAAACATACCTGAAAGCAGACAAGCAGGACCAGAACTCTTGTACTTCTGACCAACGTTAGTCCTAGTATTCGCAATCCTCTGGAATGCCGAGAAAGTTTTAAAATCCTGAGCATACGAACGAGACGTATAGTTCTGGAAAATATTTTAAATTTGACAAATTAAGATAAATTATAATAATAAAGTATAAAGATATTTGAATCTGATAAAGCCATGGCTTATCTTCTGAAATTTTCTAAGCTCGAATATTTGAAATATTCGACAATAAATCTTATTCTATATCTGCAATCGTATTAAAGCTATTTATTTTCTCTCAATATACTTATTATTGTAAGCCCAAAAAAAAATATTTCAAATATGTTGTTATACTTTCGTTATCATTCCATTTTTTGACGTTTTGCTGGTCATCTATGAAACTAATAACTAACTTTCTGATTAAACCTATCAGATGAAATCTTCAAATAAAGAATATTAGATTCTGTAAAATAATATACTCAATTCGATTAGCCCTACTCGTGGCATTGAGGGTTTGAAATTCAGTCGTCTATTGCAAAACTCGATCTCACATTTACTAGAGGTATTGTCACAGTGAAAAAAAACTGAAAGTATAGATTTAATGAAGATTTCTTATTTTGAAATCGATTGTTGTTTTTACTAAAAATACCGGTACTAGTAAGTTGTGATGCCCACATTTACAGCTTCGTACAAGATACGCTTTGGGGAAATTGTGGATAAAATATTTCGTTTTAGTCTTCGTGTCCATATATCTGAGCATCGCTCTTGTTTTCAAAATCGATCGCCATTTTAACCAAAAGTTATTACACATACTGATATAAGTACAAGATATTGATAAGATATATCCACTTTAAAAAGTATGTAGTGGTGTAGACAAACCCGTTTTAACGGCTTTTAGGTTCACTTAAATTATGCATAACTACAATGTTTGCTTCTTCGGTAATGGAAAATTCTGGGTAACGAGTTACCCGAGACAAGACAAAGATGTTAATTTTCGTGGGTAATTTGCGCATGTCAAAGTAAAATACTTATTTTCTTCTGTTTTGAGTGAAATGAATAAGAAATACGAAACTGCCATTGAGGTATTGCATGAATTTTACATGCAGCCTTTACTATACGTTAATAATAACCGTCACCATTTGAAGAAAAAACACGAGTGTAAAATGCTTCGATCACCCCTAGGAATTCTTTTGATGCACTTCAACTTCAAAATCCACTTTGGAAACCTATTTGAAAGTAACCATTTGACATTTATATGTCTCGAATGAAAGCACTCTCTTGGAACTTCAAATGTTCGTTAATGAGGATGCAAGTTTAGCATCATTTGCTGAATTGATCGAAGAAGGCTTTTTCCAGGATCATTTTGTCATAAATTTGCGCGAGGATCAGATAATGTCAGAAGCCATTAAAAGTTAAAAATGTCAGTAAATAATGAAAACCCGATGTTGCAATGGCCGACTAAAAACTATATATAAAATTTCCATTTGAAGTTAACACAATCTACGGGCCATACAAACCGAATAATATCAAAATTTGTCATTAGACTGATTGTTAGAAATGGATGAAACCAAATACTTCCAACGTCAAAAGGCGTTGGGCTACATTTTGCCGTAAGTACCCTGGTGTATGAGTGGTCTGGTGATATAGGCACGGGCCAAGTTACCATTGCAATAGGAAATTTCTTAGGACGTCTTGGAATTTTGATAGGCCTTCATAAATAATGCATAAACGGTGTTTATCTTTGCAGATATCGACTATAGCTTCTGAAGCAAATTGAATGGAAGTATGGCGGATTGAACAGATGAAAATTGAATTGAAATTTACTATTTTTTTATTATTATCATTATTAAAATTTGAATTAAACTAAATTGCTCAAACAGTTTATAAATGTATCAGCGCCATAAATCATGGTTCCTTTCAAGAAATAGTTGAATATTGACTTAGTTGTATTGTACTGTAGCAAAGGCATATCAAATTACAAGTATAGATATGGTACAATTTGAAAAAAGTGCGAGAATGACAACGAAATTTACGCTTCTCAAAAGACCCAGGCTCGTCTATCAGATGTTACCATTGTCAATTGAACTTTCGCTCCGAACAAGACCCTATACAGACAGCCACGGATTTATTAAAATATGTAGGAAATACTATTTTTGAATGATCTAGAATCTTTTCGTTTCGGCCTTTACACAATTTATTACATACTTGAATGAGAAGATGAACATGAAAATGTTTTACCTGGAATACCAAAACAGTTGTGTATAACGATTTAACTGCTAGACTATGGCGTTCACCTTTGACGCTTATACAAATTTTTAACATTCTCCAAATTCAAATAATAGGCACAACTGAGCAGAACTTAAATTTTCTCAAACATTTAGGGGTAGTTTGACCCAAACTGGGGTTATTTTCGATAAGTTTCCATTTTTTTGTATATAAAAATAAATAAATTGTTAAGTTCGTACGCAATATAGCAATTTTCATGGCCACACGCATAAAAACAATGTTGCCCTGTAAAACTAAAATTATTTAAAAAATTAGGAGAATTTAATTTACCTTAGAATAGTTGCAGTTTGTGGCCGTAAATTACTGTCTGTATGTAGACTCGTCACAATGAGTGTAATAAAATAAGGCATAATGGCAACAGCGTCGACGATATTTAAAAAATTCTGTAAAATGAATCAATAACAAGGTTATTAGCATCTTGGAAATCAAAAGTCAGGAATATCGAGTAAAAGTCCTATCTTCTCCATCTTACTAAGAGCGTAATAAATTGAGTAGTATTTGTCAGAGCAATGGGATTTCGTCCTTTTAAAACATATTATCTCTTTCTGTGTTAGATTGTGTATAGCCTAGCCAGGTGCAAATATGAAATGTAAAAATTAATAAATAAAAACAAAATAATCTAAATTGCAATACAAAATTAATACTAAAAGTTCTATAAACAATTATTTGATGTTTCTTGTCATCTGGAGTAATAAAACAAACAAAAGAAATTTCTCGATAGAAATTCACAGAAAAACAAAACAAATTTTGTCTGTTATTTCTCGGAAAAAAATCAACATACTCACTGTACAGAATTTAATTTTACTTGGACATGAATAAAATCGTAAGATGATCTCAATGACAAACCAGACGATGCAACCAGACTCAATCAAAAATAGTTGACCTGAAAAAAGTAAATAAAATTGCATGTATTAGATTAACCCAGTGATCATAAATACTGTATTTTAGCTCAGACTTGTCGTGCACAAAGTAAACCCTTGTTTAGAAATTCTCATAATCCTTCGAAATGTTGGCTTCGGGTCAGGGCACTCCAAACTGGGGGTCCTGCCCTCCTGGTGGGCCACGAAATGGCTCAGTGGGGGTCGCAGTAAAATCTCTGTCAACACTAACTCATTCTAAAAAATATCGATTAAATTTATTTCGGAAGATTCGGAACCAGTACTGAGATCCACCATCACCGGAATAGACCCAAGATTCGATCTTTTGTTGGAGAATATGCAAACACATCGGCCTCATTAAAGATATTGTTACTTTTATTATTTTAAAAATACTTTTTGTGTTATTAAATTTCACCTTATTTTAGTTCTTGGGGGTGCGAAAAATTTGACCTGTTCTTGAAAATTTGGAGAAAACAAATTCAAATCATCTATTCTATCTAAACAACATCTCGTCAACAAGGTTGTTTGCATATTTACAAATCGTATTTAAAATTGGTGTTACCTGCCGGACCTCCGATAGTTGCCTCCAAGACAAACCATGCGTAGGAAGATCGTATTGAATGTTTGTCTAGTTCTGAACACAATTGATTTAAACCTCGTATAGTTTGCTTTAAAGTTAATAATTTTGTCTCGTTTTTTACTGTTACGCTTCGTTTTGTTTCTTTGTTAAGCTTTACATCTTTAGGATTGACTATATCTTCTCCATGATTTTGATTTTTCCTATTTTTCTTGCGCTTTTTCCGTTTGTTCGAATCGGTTTCTGTGGTTTGGCTTTCATTTTTCTGTCTCTCGTGGCGATTTTTACGTTTCTTTTTCATTGCTTTTTCTCGTTTCTTGTTTCTTTTATTATCATTTTCCTCGTGGTGATCATCGTCATCACTTTCTTCTTCGTCGTCGTGTCCGTGTTCATGAACTTCAACCTCTTGAAATATGTGAACGATAGGAGTCTCGTCCGTTGAAAATGCATCGTCAAGTTCGACTTTACATCGAAGTAATGTGTATTTATTCAATAGATCCATCTCCTAAAAATAAAACGACATAAAAGTAACGTTAGATATTCCTATTGACGTTCTTCTATTAGTTTTCCTGGATTCACCACTTTTCATTACTTTACTAAGTTTTAACTTGTAATATAATATATAAATTTAAATATCCGAAAAGTTTATGAAACAGACTGGCAAAATTCCCCCCGAGAAGGGTATACAGATATATAGTAATCTTTACCACAGAAAATTTACATGTTGGCAATATAAATCTAGGATGGTTTGCTATTTATGGAACAAGAAGCGACGAATAAAAGGTCATCTAGACTTTTCATCTGTGCTGTATTTCCCTAGTAAAAATAAATATTGTGAATTGATACGAAATAACTCTGGTTTTCGACTTGAAAAACTGAAGATACTGCTGATTTAGGCACGAAAACCACAACAAAAGGCTCTACTTACTTACAAAATAAAGTGAATTGTTAGAAAGTATCGAAATCATAGGCAAAAAGCTTAGAATATTACGCATATTTTTACAGTGTTTAATCCCGAAACCACAGTAGCATATGGCGACATATATTTACCCTTTCCTCCGCACAAATCGATAAAGTACGTTGCATCGTCGAGACAATGGTTTTTCCATCAAAATTATCAAATGTTGTTTCGTCCGTAATTCCGACCTTTTCCGCTTCTTCGTTCACCGATGTCCTTCCGGTTATGTCGTGTCCTTCTTTATGTTTTCTGGGGTCGGATTCAGTCATAACTTTCATAAACTCAGATTTTGAAATTGTATCATGGTTTTCGAAAGAAGGAGGTTCGCGAATGTCTTCATGTTTTGAATTTTCAAATGTTGCTCTTGCAAATAAGTTACCTTCAGGCTGAAATAAATCACTTCTATTTTGTAACGCATTTTCGCAACTGTTCAACGCCGGTTGGATATGTTGTAAAGACTCTTCCCCCAACGAATGGAAATCCGGAACAGTCTCCATGCAGAACACTATAACAGACAGTGCAATTACTAATGCGGACATTGTCGTCACCACTCTAGCAATTGTACAACTTTCTGGGTCTTCAAAAAGATTCCAAATAAAACGTTTTACTTTTGTCTTTGGCATTGGTTTTTCTTTTACAACAAGTAAGATACCTTCAGAGAGTAAAAAATTGTGTAAATTATCTCTATCTAAATGATAGAATTTTAATTCATGTATAAAAATATCTATTGGAATGTCGTCTGGTCGTGTTAATTTTCCATCTTTCAAATAATAATCAATCACAACTTCGAAAGTAGCACGATGGCGATCTAAAAAATATTCTTTTCTTAGAGAATCCCAGTACTTGGCCCTCTTTTCTTGATTACCCAACATAGTGTTCGGAAAACGAGATAATACTTTGGGATCTATTCGATAGTATTGCCCTGAAACATTGAAAGTGATGTCCCGAGCAGTGGGTGATTCAAAACATATTTCATCAGTTCTTCTGTGATAATCTTGATAGCGCGGACTCATGCTACTCCTGGATTGTAAGGTGTAACACGAGTCAATATAGTCGAAGCTCTGATTGGCTAGCCAGGAACCTACGTTAGCCAATGAGGCTGCATTCCGTTCTTGATTGCATAGTTTCAAGTCTCTTGGCCTAGAAAATATAGAAAGAAAGGTATGATTTACAATTCAAATTGTCGACAAATGAGATTGAATTATACATTATGAAGGAAATATTTAAAATGTTATGAAATGAAAATACTAGGTATCTAAGTGACGCTACTCTCCAAGTATACACGCAGTTTATGTTCAGTCGGTCGACAGAAACATATTATTGTCACAATACTAACAAAAACGATATTCTAAATGGTTCACATTTTCAGGCTCACAAGCAAAAAGAGGCTCAATATAAGCAACAAGAGACTACTTGAGGAACTATAGTAATTGCTCTCTATTTTTTTGAAGGACAGGAATATGTCGGATTCGGTATTACGCCCACCCAATATTGTATACCTCGGATCAGGTCGTGGGCGTGGAATTTGAAACAGAGATTTCTAAGCTCCGACGTCAATACAGCCATACATAACAAGTTCCCAACGGAACACTAAGAAGATTCCACTGAGTATCTTTTTGTCCAGTTTGTCACAACAGTACTTCTCATAGCGTTCCAAGCATATATCAAACGCAGAATCAACGAAGGTAAACTGTGCAATTACTCAAGTATGACAAACCTGTTTATATCGGTCGCACTTAGGTCACGTGATTTTGTCATTGTTGAAAATGGAGTCAATTTTTCAGGTTTGACATCAAGGTCCTGTGCGTTATATACAGCATACAACATAGACGGACTCGACTTATTTTTTTCAATGTTTTCTGCACCTCTGTCTGCCCGCTCTACTCGCAATGATGACTGGTGTTTTGCTTTCATAAAATTCTAAATGATGAGAGAAAAAATTTTAATTTTATGTGGAAATATTTTAATAACGATTTTGGAAAAAAAAGGGAGAGAAGTGATCTGTTCATCACAGTTTAATTGAATTTTTGAATGATTTTATTGGCAGCGGTTTAGACTCAACTATACTAGGCTACGGATGTATGTATCAAACACAACCTGGGCGTAGCCAAGTATTTTCAATGAGGGGGAAGGGGGGTCTGAAACTTCTAATTGCAAGGATAAACCGTAACGGCTAGCGGGTCCGGCGGCCGGAAAACGTAGGGTTTCAAGCATCTTGAGAGTCTAAAATGCGTTTCAAGCTCAAAAATGTCTATGTATGATACAAAAATGCTTATTTTTACATTTTGAGGGGGTTCCGAACCGCTGCTGGCTGCGACGAGCCGAGGGCTGGCTACACATAATAATAACTACACATAATAGCTTGTCTAAAGCTTTGTTCGGGGCAAAAGAATACAATGACTAATGCAATGACAAATGTTAAACAGGTGTAATTCGCGTTATTTAGTGGGCGCGTGATAGCATAGTCGCTGAAGTATTAGACTTCACAATGTTAGCAGTCTATACATCTCGAGTCAGCATACCAGGATCACCAGCGCACCCAGGGTGTTCCAAATTAGGTATTTTTAGTATTGGTGACCCATTGTACATGGCCTAATACGGAGCAAATTGCGCGGATGAGCATCGAATAAAATAGGGAATGCAATTTAAATACGATTAGACAAATATTCGAAATATGTTTCATCTATTTTTTAATAAATTGAAGTTTTAGGGAGTGCTCATGTATATTAATTTTAGGACAATTTCCTCGAGGCAAATTATGGTATTTTATCACCAAGATTGACGTCAAAAAATTCATTAAAAACGTTTTTCATTTAGCAAGACAGGCTAATGCGATGGTGTCTAAATTAAGTTCATTTATTATTTATCTATATCGGTCAACATATTGGCACTTCGGCTGGTTTAAGTTGAAGCGAAAGTGAACCGAATGTAAATAGCATACGTTAATGGAAATACTTTTGAAATTTAAAATTAGAAAATATTTTGTCAACTCCGAATTATTTTCATTTGCAGGTATCGTACAGAATATACTATTTTATTGATCTGTTTTCAATTTATCGCAATAATTCCATAATATGTGTAAAATATTTATAAAACATCAAGATATCGTGTTATCCATGAATGGGACAATCATTTTTTGAGTACAAAACATTCACACGAACGATTATTTTCAAAGAGCCAGTATCTCGTCGCAACGGCATACAGTCTGACAAATTGATAACATCCCGAGAGTGTGGTAGTAAAAGAACGAATGTACAATGAACTGTGTCTCAAAAAGCCTTAATGTAGAACGTGAAGTATTCAAATACCAACTAAAAGCATACAAAAAGCTCTATGAACAAGTAACAATGAGATATAATCACAAAAAATTTGGATTTTGGGCCTTAATTTAGATTACAAGGTGAAAAAGACATATTTAAGGTTAATTCACACATTATGAGCAAATGTATTTTAAATTATGATATAAATAAAATATTCTATATGATTGCTTTCGGTCGAGCAATGAATAGCGTATGTATCTTTCTAATTTGTACCATTCATTCATTAATACGATTCACTATTTGAACTCTCACCCCGGAGTCTCGTGACGTTGTATCAGTTGAACTATAAAATATTTCGAAGTATTGTTTACCTTAAAAAGCTTATACCTTTCTAACAATTATGGGGGTCATTGAGTAATATTTCAATATTCTCATGTGTAAAGAAATATATCATAATGATAAAATGAATAGTCGATATCTAATATACTTGTTGCCTAAAGCCCACCTTTCTATATTGACTCAATCTTTCTCTGTGGTGCGGCAGAGAATCGCTTGGTGGAATAGTATTATTGTTGCTCCCTGACGAATTACCGATACTTTCTGGACACGAAGATTGGTCTGGAACGTGCAAATATTGCTGTTTCTTTGATTTAGACGGTAGAGTTCCTTCACAAAATCTTCTGAAAAATAAATGAAATTGGAGTAAATCAATATTCTATAAATATATGTATTATGTATTTATTATGTTTGTAAAAAAAATAAATTAAATGTCGTCATCATAGTAATTTTAATTTAAAAAAACACAGAATTTTGAATGTGTTCTGATAGTGATTTTGACTCTATAGAGTGAATCAGTGATCTTCTTTAAAATATAATCATACAAACGTATATTTGTGCAGCAAAACGCTGATTTGTTCGAGCAAGATCAAATAAGAATAGTGCGATAGATAATGATTGCAGTTCCCATGAACTAGCTCAAAAATAACCCGAAAATCGTAAATTAAAAATATTTTTACTTTTTGTCGCCATATTCTTCTTCGCTTATTGATGATGATATGGCAGGATTCGAAGATGACTTTGTCGTTTCCCTTTCCTGGTCTTCAATACTATTTGGCCATTTTACAGAAGATAGGATTTCACTTCGAAGCAATCTGTTATCAAAATACGGTTGGATTTTAAACATCCTTGGCGCCAAAATATTCGACGTCATACTTTTCGGAAAATATTCATTCGGATAATAATTATTATTGTCAATTTTTTCGTCATCGGAAAGAGACATTGAATAACAATCACTCGATCGGGACTTTGCAACAGTCTCGGATTTCAAATCATGTGACGGATTTCCACCATATGTTGCACTTCTGGTTTCTTCTTTGCATCGCCCGTTACCGACCTGCAATAGTCTACGTGTCACGCCATTCGGAGTGAAGTTATCCATCTATTTTAGTTAAAATAAGTCCATAGCTGAAACCTTATAAATACATAAGGAAAATGTTAGATATATGTATATTTGTGTGAGGTGTCTATCTGGTTGGTTTTCCGTAACTTCGTTCGTTTTTAAAATGCAATTATGGTAAATGGAAAAGTAATTTAAATCTGTTGGAAAATATAAAGCATATCAAAATTGTGGTTCCTTCTTAATTCAGCAGTACTAACCAAAATTGGCACGAGAGGAGTATTGAAAATCAAATTATATATTAGGCCCACAGTCTTGCAATTCGTCAGTTCATTGCATTGGTAGTTTGAATTTGTTATCAAGCAGTGGGTCAAGTTTATTTAAAAATGACATACTTGGAACATGCTCAAGATACTATTTTTCTGCATTATTATGGAAAACAGCAGGATCTTAGGTTTCATGATGGTATTTGCTATCAATTCTTCACACGCTATGGAAAAATACTGAAACCACGGAGTATTGGCTCCTGCTTACATTACTCAGAAATCTTCTGAACTCTAACAAGAGTTTGACTCATAATTTAAGTAACTCTATTCTGATTTGTTATTCGATCGTACACAAACGCCAGTTCAGTGATGAACGAGCTATCGATCTTTTTGTTTCCCCTTATCATATTACCAAGAATCACCGATCAATAGGTTTATAGTTTAAATATCAATTTGGGGAGCTGTACGTAACTTTTCAGAAACATTCCGCTAAAAAAGAAAACCCATTATTTAATTCCTCTGGTAGCATCGTTACAGACACTATACAGTCGTAAGCTCATTTTACAATACGAAGACCTGTATTCCCAACATCAAACACAAGGCTTATTTTAGACTATGCGACGACGTCGATTACTTCGATCAACAACGGTAAATATTGAAATTTTGTGAAAATTTTATCGAAGAAAGCTAGGCTACGAAATTACCTGATAACTCATCAAACTTACACTATCAAACAACTTTTTGTTTGAAAACATAAGATAAATAAGAACAAAAGTTCAATCCAAACTCGGAGAACTGACTTTGCAATATTTATAACGTAGCCTATATAGTTACCCTAAGCCCTGTTCCAGTATTGTGGAAACTATATGAAGTAGCGTCAACTTCGCAAGCACACTGTTGTGTCAGCGACATATACTTAGTATATGTCACCAAGTAATAATGATATTTTAAAGTGTAATTTGGAAATATTGCAATCGTGTGGATATGTGAATTGAATGAGCAGTAGCAATAGCATTTCCAATTTGCGAGCTGTTTGCCTAAAATATGATAAGAAAATTTATTTCGCGAAGTTTCTTCCGTACGTTTGCAAAATTACTCAATAAAATTACTATTCAAGAAATGAATTTGCTATGCACCAAGCCATACCGAACCCGAACACTAAATAGATCCCTTGCATACTTATCGTAAAACAAGGATGTCTAGCATTCAACGTATAACGCAGATAATTGCTGTTATCTGTTTGGGCGTAACTGAGACCTGAGACAGCTCCACAGAAAAAAAAATATAATCATATTCAGGCTAATCAAGTAACAAATTCACAGTGCCAGTTATAATTGGTTAAAGCTGTTTCCAGTTTTGTTAAAATCTATCTGCAATTTTAGCTGGGCTTATGCCGATTCAACTCGATCTTCCTCATTCGAGTAATAACAAAAAATCAAAAAATGTGAGGTACAATGCACACACTAACATTACTGAAAATCAGTTATTGTTGATGAACACCTGACTTGCGTATAATATTCAAAATCGTTCATATCATACAAACTATGGTTGTCAGTCTTATTAGGAAGGCAATCATAGCGAAATAATCACATACATAACACAAGATCACCCTATAAAACTATTCTTCAAGTATTTTTTGATTTGGTGGTATAATTATATATATATATATTCTATGTTGAGTATAAAACTTCGTTTGGTAACATGCGAGGAGTAAGTCATAATCGAGTAATAGAATTTTGTAGTGACGGAATCTAAATTTTACTACGTAACGATGAACAATTAGGGAGTATCTCGGCGTTATTCTTTCTAATCAACGTTGGTATTTATTTTGGGCCGGAGAAAACTCGTTTGTTTTTATCTTGAATAGTTAATGTTTCATTATAATTAAAATTATTGAGCATAATTGACTTTGTCCTAATACATGTGATACGCGACTTATTTTAATTAAATATGGTTTTCTCTGATAACCCAAACACACAAGGTTCCCCTACACTTTCTTCCACGACTAATAACGCAATCGCTTTTAACGTAACCTAACTGTTCCTACAGATCGTAGACTTCATAGCAAGATTAATATGACTTGAAAATATTTGCTGATAAGTACATGACAATATGAAACAACATACATCTTCCATATTCTAAAGGACTAAAATATACTCAGAGGCAGCAAAGTCAATATTACGCTTCCATGTACGTACTTAAACGTGTCAACAACATCATTACCACCTTTAAAATCCATCAAAGAGGTGTAAACAAGTTTTCAGACATAATTAGTACATATTTGTACAAGTAATCTTCTTCAATAAGCATTTCTGATGAGGCTAGACTACCGGCACAATCGGACAATATTTTTTTCCCGTTGAAAAATATATCAATTCCCTATTTAGGCCACTTTATTTGCTGTGCCCTGCGAACTTCCCAGTACGTGCCAAGAACATCAGCACAAAACGACCTGTTGTTATATATACACGTGAAAGAAGACATTTATCCTGCAATATTGCCCGACAGCGCACGCTCAGAACTAACTACATCCGTGGCGTAATGAAAATTTTATGACTTTTTGATTAAGCGCATTTTTTGAGTACCACGAGCAGGACGCCACCAGACGTATAAGCAATAAACGCTTCAATAATTAATTTCAATCGGTGAGCATTGAGATAAAGTGCTGCGAAACTTGTCGGGTCTTTGTCCCGTAAGCTGTTTATACAAAACTTCACGCCTACTTGCATTTTTAACAAGAGATCATATGCTCAAATATATGGACACGAAGACCAAAACGAATTTGTATAAAATCTTTTGTAAAACCGGTAGTCTGACCGATAGAACACTGAGATGTGCTAACGGAACCATAGCACGTAATTTTTAAGATATTTTTATACAAATAAAAGTGGTAGCCCTCTGCCGACAACAACAAGCTTCAACCGCTGAAAATTTCAAAGCAATTGATCCGGCAGTTGAAGGGAATTTTTTTCCACGACAACATAATAATAATATATAGCTATATACGAAGCTAGGTTTTCAACAATTAATATTATAGCACTCTTTTCATTTGACCTCGCAGGTAAAACAGCTGCGAAAAAATGGTAAGTGTAATAAGGTATTATAAACTATAAAGTATTGTACAGCCACAAGACGAAATATGAGCATGAGAGTTTATGGTGTATTATGATTAATAGCAATTCATATTATATAATCAGCTAAATTACAATCTCGATTATAAAATAAAATATGCAAACCCATGGTGCATATTACTGTTTACTAGTTGATAACTCGCTTGAATTAAAAATAGATTGAAAATTGTTAAATATCTGTTCCACAAACAATTTGCATATTTTAATGTTGTAGAGTAGATAGAAACTGAGTCAGGCTAGGAAGTATTACTTTTACAGTTTAGTTATGAATGATATTGCTGACCCCGTAAAACACTACACAACTCTATTGTTATTCAAAAATAATTTTACTATTAACAAAATCAGCAATTTTATATATATTTTATGAGTAATTTTATCTCTTTTTTTTTTCAATAACTTTTCTGAGAGGGCTAAATTAATTTGAAAAAAAAATTCTATATTATGGCCTACTGTGAAATGTCTATATTTTGCGTTTTTTCATAACATATAACGTTTTATTGTGTTACTATCTATCACTTACTATCTTCATATGGAGAAGGCATACATATATTTACAGTGTTGTCAGCTTTTAAGGTTTGAGCGTTCGATTTAGATTGATTTGCAGAACAAGGATCGAATCTCATTAGATTATTGCAGTGAACTCAAACTCTTGTTGCAGTGCTAGCAACAAGCAGATAATCAGTGTCCTACCTAATCTTTAAATTAAATTAAACAAACTAAAAAATCTTAAATTGGACTCAAACGAGCAACCCGACATGAGCCAGTTTTCTGTGATTTTTTTCTCGTTCGATATATAAGAAAAATCTTATAAATATATTCGCGAATAAGAGTAAAAATACAGTTGGAATACATTAGATTTTGAAAACAAAGCGCACATATCGCTATACTGAGATTAGCTGGGCAAAGACCAATCTCAAACCTTTCACGAGATCAATTTATGCAGAACATTGGAGGTCCACCAAAAAGGTTGAGAACCACTATCCCAGTTTTAGTTTTGCAAAGTTAATTTGTTTATAGAACATATAAACTTGCAGTACTAAGCAATTTTGGAGCGTCGATCAGTAAAATAAGACTGACGCATTGCACAAATGTTCAGATACAAACTCAGCCAATAGAAGTTTCCGTTCTATACTAATCAAAGGTTTAGAAACCAACCAGACTATATCCTATCAACGCTTGCCAATATTTGACTTCAATACTATTTAAAGAAATTTCAAAGAATATTTATGTTGCAGTTTAAGTTAAAGTAAATGTAATTTATACTCATATCACTAGTAACGAAATATCTCATAGTTCTCCTTCATCCTTATTTTTAGATGGCGAAAAAACAAATATCCTCCAACAGCAGTAAATCAAAAAAGTACAAAGAGAAAACGAAAAATGGTAGGAGAGTCTGAATCTAGTAATTGGTTTTTGTAATGGTGTCGTGATTTGGACTGTCATTTACTAACAAATATAGTTGTCGATTAGGCTACATGAGTACATGAAAGGATATGAATTCGAAAAAAAAAAGTTTTTTGCCCCGACTGCGGTTGTTTCGACTCCGACTACATATCCAAACCCATCCAATGCCCATCCCTACTCTCAAAACGACCTCATAGTCTACGACTCTACGTACATTTTTATGCAGATCGCCGTATGTGTATGTGCGTGATTGTTGTGTTAATTGTTCAATTATAAGTTTGGAATCACATGTTTTATAGTACTGTTGAATAACCAATCAGACTCACCTTCGCCAAGACAGAAAATTCGTCATGGGAAATAAACGGGAAGCTCCTGTTTCTTCCCTATTTCCACTAGCGCTCAACATAGAGCTTGCTTGCTTGTGTAAGGGCTTGTTACCCGATCGAATGTGTGCGAAAAAAATACACTAATAATATATTTCATGAATATTTTGTTTTTGTGTTGCAGTTCAGTCGAGTACGAAATGGATACTGGAATATATTTTTTTCCGATTTGTAACAATGAGCAAAAATGCAACAAATCTAACCTTGTGGCCACAAAGACAAAAGATTTACATTGCAGTAAATCTGATATTGGCAACAACGCTTGTATTGATGGTATTGAAGTACCGGGATCTGCTATTCTATAAAGGTAACTCACTGAAAATTTTCTTAGCATAAGAATTTGTGAAGAGAGCATGTGATTTTGATTTTCCAGGTGAGTAAATAAAAGTTGTAAGTTTTTTGATTGCTTGTGAGCTTAGGTAAAGAGATAGATAATCCCTTTTGCCAAAACAATCTGTGCTGTATGATCTTTTTACAGAAAAATAATTTAATTCTGTGTACCGCTGGATTGCTTCTTGGTGATTTATCGCCGTCTTTATTGATTATTAACTCTCACAACTTATGGTCGCCAGCTCTTCTATACCTAGATTTGTTTTTAACGCCTTTTCATTAGTTATTTTATGGGACACGTTTAAAATTGGGTCAAAGTCAAAAAACAGAAGTGAACGAATAAATGCAATACAGTTAAGGAGTTGAACAAATCGCAATCAAATTATTTTATAGTAATTTGGTCACCTCTAATGATATCTAGTGAAGGGGTTCGCTCGTTGAGTTCAGAGAACCGCTTTGGGGTGCCCTAATGGGGCCGAGGCCCGGTTCAAGAAACATTGTTATCATCCACTTCAGGTTATCAAGTATAAACACCAACACATGTGATATTCGAGCTAATTTTTACCAGCTTTCAGACTCACAGTTTTCGGTTCATATTCTCCGGAAATACTCTGTACTGTACTTTTGCTACTTATCATGTTTCTTTATTTCAGAATTTTATAGAGTTTCTGAATATTAAATTATATACAACGATGTAGAAGTATTATGTAAAACCTCACATGTATGAGTATATTTCTCACGCGAGTTTTATTATCCAGAAACTGCATGCGGAACATGGTTCCACAGCGGTGCAAACAATGAACAGATAGAATTTATGGAAACAAGGTTGAAAGAACTAAAAACCATAATAATCAAACTTTTAAAAGATATGGAAGGCGTCGACAAAGGAAATCAGTAAAAACTGTTCTTCTGAAATATGATTTTGAGTTATTTAATCAATTTTTGTGCGCTTAATATTTATATTATAAAGGGTTCCATTACATTTGAACCCACGTACATTTGAACCCATGACAATTTCACCTGTATGCTATTGCACCTATGGAATTTTTTTTTGTTTCACGGATAGTTAAACCCATACTAACCCTAACCCATGGGTTTTAGCACCCGCATATAGATTGAACCCGTGGATATACGCATGGGTTCAAATGTACGTGGGTTCAAATGTACGGTCACCTCAGTAAAAACTGTTCTTCTGAAATATGATTTTGAGTTATTTAATCAATTTTTGTGCGCTTAATATTTATATTATAAAGATATCTTCGTGCATGCTAATCTAGAAATGTAATAGAAAAAACCAACGGTTACTGTTAGCATTTATTTACAAACTTACCAAAAAGACAATAAATTTTACATATCATGTTTGTTCTAACTGTGTCTTCAACATGAACTTTAACATAACATTTTTAACTTATTCTGTAGTTTGTACCCCTGGTACCCCACCAAATCTTATTTAGGTATATGAAATGCGCCCAAATGATAGCATAAAAATCATTGTGAAAATATTTTGTGGAAGTATGAAAATTCTTGAGATATAATGAATAAGCCTCGTTGTTCACCCCATGAAATGAGTTTAAAACTCATTTTGCTGAAGTATATGGCGCAGCAATTTGTAACCCCTCTCCGCCACCACGACGTTTTGGAAACATCGATCTCAAAATTCTTGTCACTAACAACACTAAGCTGACATTTTCTTCCTTCTCAAACGCCATATTGCAGATTGGTAAGAATGCGTGAATGAGATGACTTGGTGAATGAAGCAGCGTAAAAATTTCGGGTTCAAATTCCATGACTACCATCTCACTCAAGGTGTAGTGTATTGTGTAGGCTGTAGGGAATGCTGAACCGAAAAGATACCGCACACATTAAAATATGTTACTTACAAAGCAGTGGAATCTTGTACAGTGCCTTGGGTGGATAGGCGGAATGAAAGTCCAAGTGTCGTCGTTTAATAGCTTTTAATATGTCATAAGTATCACATAACATTACACTACAGTTTCCGTAACAATGGCTTTGTTCGGGTATATTGGTATTCTTTTATTTCCCCTAATCAGCTGGACGAATAAAAAATATTCATCTCGGTAAATTTCAGTGAATAATGGTATATCCCCTCCATGCAAACCAACTTATTTCGTCAGTGCAGGACTTGTGTTTACCTTTATGGTATTTGGCGTTTAAATTAGACAAGCGCTAGATATACTATCATAGGGGACCGTACATTTGAACCCACATACATTGAACTTATGTGTATATCTGCGGGATCAATATATATGCGAATGCTAAAACCAATGGGTTGGGGCAATATTCGAATGAACAAAAAAAATTTTCTAGGTGCAATTGTCGTGGGTTCAAATGTACGTGGGTTCAAATGTAATGAAACCACCATCATACTCCTCTGAACGCCACAGCGCGAATTCCCCCAGATTCGTATATGTGTGATGATCGCTATTATTTGTCGTGAATTTCATCCATTTTGTCCCACTGAAAGTATCTCCAGCGTTGTCTGAATAACCAGAAACCAAGTCGTATAGGAATAACGAATCGTGAACAAAAAGATAGGTTTCGCTTATAATTCAAATAACTTCTTCGAACACCAAATGAAATTAATACATTTACCACGTTTAGTACAGCCATGACATCATATTATTTAATTTTCCACCGCTTCGCTCAACTTTTGTCAAATTTGAGGCAAAACTGTATAATTTTAAGCAATCATTCAATTGTTGCAAACACATGTAAAATAATATGTTCTCGAATATGTCAAAATTTTAAATATAGACATCGATTTCATATCCGTTGACGAGAGGTGGTGTGGTGCAGGTCGAGGATTTTACAAATGCAATATATATTTGATAAGTTGGCAGCGATTCGAGATTCCCATCTGAACCGATTAGAATAATTGACTATTCGCTTTGAATAGTTCATTCATTCAGCCCTGGTGATGATACTAGCATGTTCCACTTTCTCTGAAATTTGAGCGGCGATCAAAAAACTCAATGACACAGCATTCGTTTAGGCTTATCAACAGGTTTTATCCACAACTGCCCAGTACGTGATACTTTTCTAACTGCAGTCCAATATACTAATTTGCAGGCTCAGAAGGATTGACCTTAGTCATGAAATCGCAATTTTAGCATTAAAATTAAGTGTAAGATAAGTAAATTGCGGTATGATAAAAAGCGCACTGATACTCATTTTTTCGACTTATTGAAAATTTAATCTATATCTACGTTTTTAGTTTGGTTTGTACTTTGTAGTAAATGCAGTTAACAACTTATCAAACAGTTCAAATATTCGCTTTCTTTGTAAAATTTGTATGATATCCACTGACTCAAGATTATCAAGACTAATCATCCCTTTGAACATCAATAGAGCATGAAAATGACTGTATCACGAATACTAAACGCTCTTGCCACACTCCTCTCTCGGTAATGTTAAAGAAGTTGCAAACGAATGTGTTTATTTGTAAAATATACAATATCAAAATTCAATCCAAGAAATTTGGTAGAGTATACAATGCTGCGAAAAATTCATCGTATTCATATAGTACTAAGGTAAACCCGTTTTAGCTATACTACGGAAATAGGACGCAGCCTAAAATCTCCCTTTTTCTGGATAGAATTTCTTCATAATTAGCATCTGAGAAGTTCAATTCTCAAGCTCATATGAATGTGATACCCAACTGGTTGAATCCGGATAAAACGGGCTGTGACCGGTTCGTCAAACAAATTTTTCACAATAGTATTTTTGTCAGAATTTGCAGGGAATATCTGAAAAAGAAACAATTATTACACCGGAAATTTGAAATCTTTTAAACAGAGTGTCGTTTACTATTATGCTATAGCTATAAGTAGAAGCTTATGACTTATGTATTCACTTTAGCCCTTCCGTTTTCTTCAATAGGCGTCTTTGCAGATGTAGTGCCGTAATACACTTTGTAGCTTGTGACCCATTGATTACAAGTTCTGCAAATATCGTGTCTTCCTTGTGTAACAATTCCTGTTATCAATGTCGGTGTCTGAAGATCGATATCAACCCACTGGTATGGGTTATCTGTTTGAGCAATTAACGTATTAATAACGGAATGAGGAATTACAAACTCGAGGAGAGAATAAGGAAAAAAAAAGAGAAGGCGTAAGTGGAGGATATATAAGTGAGAGTTAAAATATATACTCACTTGCGCCAGCACACCAGGACGCTTTAGATTTCAGAAAAATGTTGCTCAATCGGCAAGACGAATGAGTAGACGATGCTCTGATATGAGATGTGGGAATTTGAAACGTAGAGATTCCAGCATAGCAGATTTCTATCAATTACAAGTTGAATGAATTTTGTGAATAAACAAAATCGTGAGAAAATTGATAATAAAATACAAACTTGGGGCATTTCGGTACATAAAAATATCTTTAAACATAAAAAGTTCTGTTGATCTTACGTTGCGAATTAGTGTGAGCAAAATATCTTATAGCTGCATTTCTATAAATACTTGAATGATGGAAAATGTAAGTATGAGATCTATATTAATCAAAATCTGTAAATATAATTCCTCGATACTAAAAGATTCCTCGCAGTGTCGAGCTCCGATTTACCTGTATTCTCTCTGATAGTCTGTTGGAAGGCTGAAAAATACATTAAAAGAATAGTCATTGACGTGAGCGATTTACTAGCATATCACAATAATCCGGAAGAACAGATGTGATATTAAAATAATATATGCAGTCACTGTACGGTGCTTGGTGATAAACAATAGGGTTTATATTCTAATTTTGCCTATTTTTTGCAAATTGTTTTAGTCTCACAATTGTTGTACCAACAGAATATTTTATTTGTGGACATTGTTTAAATGGAAATATCCCATTAGGAGAGCAGAAATATCACGAATCCAATACGATATTTCATATATATAATTACCTTCTAACTGTCTGATTTTTTCTTCTAAGATTTGTACGGAACTCAAATCACAATTACACGATCCTCTGTCACCTTTAAGTCCCCTGGGGCCGACTGCACCAGATGGACCTTCAGGTCCGCGCTTCCCTGGTGGACCCGCCTACAAAACAAACATGAATGTTTTCGATAGTTGTATTCTATTTTTATTTTCTCATATAATTATTATTGAATGGTTCGAATTTGCATTCAACGTAGAATATACATAGTGTCATAAAGTCTTAATTTTTTTTTTTTTCAAATTGCAGGGAAAGGGAATTTATCGATACTATATATTGTTTTGGCCCTCAGGGATGTATTAAATAAAGTAAAAATACTAAAAAACAATTACTAATTAAAAACAAACCTAGTTAAGATATATTGAGAACTGATTTCATAACAAAATTGAAAAGTGACTTTATGGACACCTTGTATATAAACAGCCTATAAATTTGTGGCGAATTTGGTTTTATATAATTTTTTTCAAGATTTTTGGAGCTTATCACTTACATAAAGTGGACTCCGTTTGCAAGAAACGAAATTTTAAAAGTAGGTTTTGCTGATAACGTAGTACTGAGAACTCGTCGGCGTGAATTTTCATTTGGTTAGGGTCAATTATAGCGTTATGTGTTCTTTTTTTTTTAACTGTATGCTAATTCTGTTGTGCGTTGCATTTGGCATACGCTGCACTGGTTCAAATTAATACCAATATATTCAAATAATATCGTTGCGTTATTAGGCATGTCAGCCTAGCACGATGCGCCACACCGCCGAAAATGACAAACAATGGAATTTGTTGCCATCTTTTGATTAAAGCACATACAATAGCATATGTAACAATTCTCAAATATATGGATACGAAAGCCAGAACGAAGTAGTACGAATAACTATTCTTTAATAGTATCGTACCGTAGCCTTCGCGACTTCGAATGACCACCAAATCGCGAACGCGGAAGATGGATGCGGCCACAGGATGCGCAATTTTTAATTTTGATGAAGTATGCAAACCCCTATAAACGAATCCCATGCAGTCTACAGAAATTTTGGAACCCAATAAAAGTAATAGCTCTCTACCGACAACAACGATTCTCAACCACCGAAAATTACAAAGCCATTGTTCGAAAAAGCGTTTTTCTTTCAACATCAAGAAAATGAATTCCAACAACAACGTAATAAGAGAGAAATGCTCATATATATGGACAGAAAAGCCAAAACGAAGTAGCATCAAATCTTTTACATTACCGGTAGTCTGACCACGAAATCGCTGAAATGCGGTCACGGAACCACGGCACGACGCGCATTGTTTAATTTCAATGACGTCATCGCAGAAAAAAGCGAACCCCATGGAGCCCACAAATATTATTGAAATAAATAAATGAGCCTTCTAGCAAAAAATACAATCTTTGACCTCTTTTTCAAATTTCAAAGCAATTGTTCCATTAGTTAAAGATGAAATCCATTTTTTCATAGGAGACAATGACTAACAGTGGAATGGAAAATAACAAGAACAACAACACAATAATGATAACAAAACGATCCTTATGTACACTTCGTGTCAAATAACAAAACGTTCCATTTTGTCTCCAATAAGTTTTGCTCAGTTCAAGCGATTTGTTCGGACTCTTAATCTTCGGTGGTATGAATGAACCTTCTAGGTTTTTCCACTCCACACGTGAACGAACACTATTAATTACAAAATGAAATTTTTTTATTTTTTTATTTTGAGTTTCTGAGTTTTTTTACAGAAAAAAGTTTTGCAATTCTGCGAAAGAATCCTTTCTTTTTCTTTGTTACTTCTTTTGTCTCTGCTATATCAGATTCTTCTCGTGGTCTGTCTGAATCTTGTGTTTCGTTCACAGTGGGTTCACTTGACAAGATATCCTTTCTTATCTCACTCTCCAAACTGCATGGTGATGTTATTTTCGTGTCTGTTAAAATAAGACTGTCCTCGGGACATTTATCGTCAGTATTTTTGCATGAAGATTCAGATATATTTTCGAAGGGATTTGGCAAAATGTCTGCTTCACTCTCCTTTATAAGTGAGACAGATTCTATCTGTTCATTTTCTGAATGACCGTGCCTCGACTCAACCTCGGTTGCTTTCGTAGGTTCCAATTGTCCTGCATCTGTTTTGTTCAAGTAGTCGAGTTTTTCTTGGTCACCGGAATTCAATGGCGGCGATAGAGCACGCAGGGTAAATATCCTGGGTATAGCGTAATTGCTCTGGTTATTATTGTCCCAAAAAGTGCATCCATTTTGAACAGCCCTGAGTGCAAATATCGCATTTGTACTTTCTTCAGGCCAAGCGACGCGAAATGAGAATAAATCAATTGAATTGTCTCCTTCTTCCCAGAAAGCTTCCACGTCGGCAAAACTTTCCCATTGATTAAAAGTTATTCTCGAGGATACATGTTTCTCATAAGTAAGATTTTGTACTCCAATACGACCAAGTATTTCTTTCTCATCCCAAACTAGATCTGTAAGCGCCACATTTGTGGCATACACCAAGTTTCTCCTTTCCTCAGTATTTGATGATAATTGCTGAATAACATCCATAATTGCAAATGACAATCAACGCGGTTGAAATTTTGCGGATAAATGAAATATTTTTCTGAATTTATCATAATTATTTCGACTTTGTGACGTCATAATTGTTGCAGATGGATGAAATCTGATTTTAAACTTTGGAAGAGAGAATTGATGTTTCTCCGATCATCGACTTCCTTGTTTACTTCCGTAAAATTATCTAATCAGCAAGACGCGAAATGTGACGTGACAATAGACGTTTTAGAAGCCGCTCAGACACTTTTGTAACTCAGACAGATTTTAAGACTTTTCTACCGGTACTTTTAGATGAAAGGTTGTTGAATGGTTTGAATAAAAATCATGGCTTGAAACATATAAACCAGTTTATAGGCGCCAACTCGCCAAAGCACTCGTAAAATAGGCATAATAATTTTACAATGGTAAAGTATAAGAAGAATTTTTAAGGTTTATCTGCGGCTTATATAATATTATATATATATCTAAACAATTATTCGTGGTAGAATTTAATAATTTGAAAATCTAGAATCATTGCACAAAAACAATCTATAATGCATTGTTGCTTAAAATCAACGATTATTATGGTCTAAAACAGTGGTCGGCAACCACCGGCCGCGGCCCATCGCCCGTCCGCGGAAAGGTTACTGCCGGTCCGCAGAGAGGTGACACAAAAACGGAAAAGGCCGTAATAAAACCTCTACAATCTAACCACAAACCCAACGACTAAAAAACAGCACCCAACACAACAGTAAACCAGACAAACACAACGCTGGGGGTCGGCAAAACTGCGAACCGTGAGCTAATTTGTTGCGGCCCTCGAACGACCCGACATTTAATACATAAAACCAAAAATGATTCTAGATTTATTATTGTCTCTACACGGATTTATGTGGTAACAAGTGCTGATGTACGGTGCTTGTTTTGTAATAAGTAGCGCTGGTTGTATATCGTTCGAGTTAATTTTGATTTTTTCAAATTAAAAATGTCTGGGAAACGGAGCAACGAAGGTCGAGCATTCCAAAGTGCTTGGACGGAAAAATATTTTTCTTCCTTGCGCATTCCAAAACCGGTTTGCTCGATATGCGCAGTCAGCATCGCAGTTGTTAAGGGTTTTAATGTTAAACTCGTTACGGAACGAGTCGTCGAAAATTCGACCCCGAGACCCGAGACTGCGCCACAGCTCATCTGTGGGCTAGTGAAAAGGTGTAATGTGCACGGTCGGAAGAATATATGGCCTTGAGCAGCTTTATCTAAAATGCATTACAATTAGAATAAATTTTGTACTCGCCTGTCAGATCATCATTTGGACGACGAGTTACCATAAAATCATCATTTTTCACATTGATATTAATAAGTGAAGTTCAATTAATGTAGCGATTGTTCGAAGGCGGAAATAGAAATATTGCGGCCCGCGCGCTACCGGAAATGTGTATATTTGGCCCGCAAGTACACGAAGTTTGCCGACAACTGCACAACACTGTTAAGCAGCATGTCTGACTTTATAAACAATTGCCATGTCAGTATGTCGCAATAATGGTGGGTCAATTGTTATCTCTACGCTTGTATAAGAATGCCTCATATCAGTCCGAATAAGATCTCCTCAAGAAAATGATACATGCATTCTTAACTTTCCCGAAATCGTATTAACATGAGGCCTGGTTTTCAATATTGATAACAGTTAATAGCCATCAAACAAATACAGATATCGGGTTAAATAGCATCACCGTCGTTTTTAGTATATTGCCAACATAAATTTCATAATGCGTTTAATGTATTGCATAGGCTTAGTTCGTTTGTATAAAGGTGGTCCACCAACATTTTGGTCAGACTTTACCGGTCCGTCACTTGAAGAAGGTTGCCGACCACTGGTCTAAAATATTATCAGACCGAATACAGAGAATATAATGTTATACCTACCTCGCAGTCACGATCCCGACAGCGTCCATACCGGCCTAAAATGTTGCTTACTGCTCTCATGTCTGAAATACATGTTTCTTTCTCCGTCTGTCCTGTTGTATTCTCGAAGACAAACAACACAAGGACAATCATACAGCACAGAAAATTTGTAAATGCCATTCGTATAAGTAGATTACTGTCTAACAATAGACGATGCAATTAGCCTACTAGAGAGAAACAAGTATGAAAATAAAAAGTCTAACCTTCAAAACTCTTAAACAGTTTAACAATATATATTAGCTTCACATTTACTGTACAGACGATGAATCTGCGTGCCGAACGCTGGAAGTTCCGCATCAATTGTGATGGTATATCGCATATGCTAGATTTTTCAAGTTTGTAAGAAAACACTTGCCAATATCGTGTAGAAAATGCATCGAAATTTACATTTTTAACACACGATTTATGACACACTTGTCTGAATTTATGCATCAGGCTACTTTCTGTAAAGAACATTCCTCTTTTTGCATAACATAATTGAAACTAGTTGTGATTTGCGTGATATTCACCTATTGATTTTGAAATAAAATTGCTTGCTTTTGTCGACGCGAAATTTCGGATGAAATAATGAATCTGCGAGAAAATTTGATTAAAAAACAATAACAGTAATAGCCTGGCGACTACTTTCATCTTCGGCACTTGAGATTCATTTGTCCATTAGTAATAAAGTCGCTCCAGCGACGACAAAACTGACAACTCTTAGGAAGAACGATCTATATAATGCCACTTCTTGTCCAATAAAACCAAAAGTGAGGCGAAGAAACAGATGACATAGAGTCTATGTCATAGACGAACAGAGTCGTAAAGGAGATACAACAGACACAGAAGAAGTGAAAAGTAGTAAGTGTGGGATAAGTAGGCGCAGGGTAAATTCCCACAGGGTAACCAAAGTCGTGTCCTGCCTTTTGAAGCCCCAAATGAATGTCTTCAATCCATGCACCAACAACTAACAGTTCCGCAATATGAACACCGCAACAATCCCACCGATGCCTATAAGCGTGGTAGACTGCAATCTCAAGGGCCGTACACTTGCGTTGAAATAAATTTATTCTGTTCATAGCTCACAAGGTGTAGCCTACTGTAGATGCATTGATAATCTGCATGCCGCTTTCGCAACGAGCGCCAAGGGAAATTCGAGAAAGCCGTAAATTGCGGGGTAATAAGTTACTTGTAAGTCTCAGCAAATGTGGATGTCGTAAAATCATAACGCTCGACTAATTCGACAGCGTACAAATTAAACATGGAAATACATGAACCTTGGCAACTCATACACAAGACACAGGGTATCAATTAAAAAGACTTTCAAGCTGTTTCATAAAATGCACGCAAACATTTCGTATAGCAAGTTACGCAGGCAAGGGGAAACGATTCTGCTCAGAGGAGATCGTTCGCGGTCGCAGGGCAATTCATGAAATCTCTTGTCATAGTTCCAGTTTAATACATACCTGAAACGATTACCGTAAGTATGCGTTTTCATCCGAAATGAATATGAAAAATCTATCTCCCACAAGTTCAACACTTCTCCATGTTACCATTCATTGATAAATAAACCAAACAATATAAATTTCACAATAACCTATTTTACTAGGAAAGAAAAGCCCCATCCAATATCAATTTCATATATTCAACCAGATTGAGAAATTTGATGATTATTCACAGGTATTTTAAAATCCCAAGACTGTCGAGAGATACACACAGAAATTCTTTGAAAATTAAGTTTAAAATTGTGCTATTGACGAATAAGCTGCATTCGAAACTTAGAAAATGTCATATATAATATTTGAAATCAGGAGAAAAGGGAATATGGAAAACACAGCTGTCCAACACCATTCTTGCATGTTTGAACTGGAACAATCGCGAAAATAAAGTAAAAATGAAACAACGAAATAAATTTTAATAAGATCTGATAGCAGGTGGTACTTGACTACATTCTTTCTCGTCCATTGTATCGTCAATCACAGGTCGATAGGAAAGTTTGACCTTGTAAGGGAAAAATGAGAAATGCGTTATCTCAAATTTATAGCTAACTTATTATTAAGCTTATCCAGCATGCATTTCTAATTAAAAGATAGGACTTCAGACCTCTTAAAATCAAATATACAAGATAAAATATTTAATCCACATTTATGAAGCAATCAAAATTTTCAATGGAAACTAAAATAAACTTGCGAACAACAAGTTTTGGTTGTCAATATTTAGTTATGGGCAATTTTGACAGTCTGAGTATTTGTCAAAACAGTGCCGGAATACTCGGCTAAGTGCAGGGATTGTGGTTCAACATTTAGCACATTAAACTTAATGGCTTCCCTGGATGGAATAAATATAAAAAAAATATCCTATTACACGATCTCGGTCTGAGCTTTCAACAAAGTTACGGTCAAACGTGTTGTCCCAATATCACATAGATATTTATATTTAATTGTTATTTCAAGCAACAACAGTTTATCAATATGTCAACAAAATGGAAATTGACTGTTACTCACGTTTCCACTTTTGGCATCAACGTATGACAAAGTATGCTTCCTCCAATGTTTTTCAATCGGTAATTTGGTTTGAGACGCAGTAGGTTTACTATAGTCATATTCATCAATTCGGTCCTGTGAAAAAAAATCGTTTTGAAAAAGAATGTTGAATGTACAAGCTTAATTAGTTTGAGAATAATTATACTTGGCGTGGTACTTCAGAAAATTTGCTTATGCTTAGAAAACGACAAAATGTCCACCTCAGGTTTCTGGCTTTCTGCTATATTGGTCATTTGTGGATAACTTTTTGGGATAATTTACTTCGCTTATAGTTATAGGTTTTTGTAATGTCCCCCATGCAAATACAGGCTGAATTTCGTTAATGGGAAAAAGCTTGCATTGTTCACGCTGATTGAGCGAATAACACATGCTTTTTCGTCTTCAGTGAGTTATCAATCTGTTATTGTTAGTTTTCAAATTTTTAGCTACCCACCTTGAAATCTTCTCGTGCATGAGCTCCCCTACTTTCTTTTCTTGCTTCTGCAGAGACAATGGTTTGTATTGCATTTATCATTAAATTTTGTAATTCTAATGTTTCAACGAGATCCGAATTCCAAATCATTCCACGATCAAATAGCTAAAAATAAAGAGTAAGATTTGGTTATAAACAACAGGAACATATCTGTAATGAAAGAGAAGATTGTAGTAGACACAGAACTACGATTTCAGATTCAGAGATTGGTTAAAATCGAGTCCGGTGCAAAAACTCTTCAGAGTCTAGCATCTCCGGAGTCAAAATCCTGTCTCCCGCCTGTCTTCTCAAAGTCAATTTTTGTAATTGGAATTCAAAAAAGCATTCTCATCAGACAAATAAAAATAGAATATAATGTTATTATAATCTGGTTTTGTTGAGAGTTCAGAGCTGGACAGTGTATATACTTTTGGGTTCCATTACATTTGAACCCACGTACATTTGAACCCATGACAATTGCACCTGTATGCTATTGCACCTATGGAATTTTTTTGTTTCACGGATAGTTAAACCCATACTAACCCTAACCCATGGGTTTTAGCACCCGCATATAGATTGAACCCGTGGATATACACATGGGTTCAAATGTACGTGGGTTCAAATGTACGGTCACCATACTTTTGATATATTGATATGGTTGAAGTGAATCTGTATAAGTCACAGGATTTTTTGCAACCTTTCGTCGAAGTAAGAATCGAACTCTCAAGGCATTGGTTTTAAAACTTTTAAAAAAAATTTGCATAACGGTCCCCTTATAATTTTTATGATAACTCGTGTTCCACTGAAGGATTCAGAATAGCAACACGTTCTATTCATTTATTTTATTGCTTGGCTTCCAGCAGTTCACCTATTTTGGGTTCTATTTAGGACAGTGCAATACCATGTCTTATCAGAAACAAGCACACCAGAAAACGAGCATAGGAGAATTTTTCGTGCACTTCATATTTTACTTCTTACAGAAAACTGTGCTTTTTTGAGTAAATGTTAAAACTTCTTTCATTAATTTCTCCCTTTATTTTCAAAATATATTTTCGAGAAACACTGCATGTATTAGCATGACGTGGAAGTTTACTTCTGTGTCACAATCAAAGTCAAAGTTGCTACAGGGCCCTGGCGACCGCGACCCCATTTTGAGAACCAATGCTTCAATTCTTAGCCCTGTAAGGTTAAAATGGATCTGTAAAGTCTCAGGATTTTTTGCAACCTACGATCAAAGTAGGATTTTTTTTATATGACTCCAAGTCAAAGCCCTGTACTGCTCGGTACATATGGAAACAACCATTCTCACCTTCAAATTTGACATTTGTTGATAATTGTCTTGCAACTTTGTTACTCCTTCCTTTAGAACGTCTCCTGTTCTGAATACAGCAGCATGCTCTTGCATCGTTTTTTGCATTTCTAGCCTCAAATCAGCAGTGGTTGTGGAACCATTTGCATGTCGCAAAGAATCTAGGTTAGCAACAGATTCTTCACCAGCATCCTGTAAAAGCATAATTGTATATATATTTTTACATATATTAGAAAGGCTTTCCAAGTTGTGTAAAGGGACTGAAACCTGTGGGCAGAGGGTATATTCAATTGGCTAACACAGACAGTCCCCGAAAATCTGAATAAAATTATGGCCTAACCCTAACCTGGTACACACACTACAGGAGTACCCTCTATGGTTTCCCGAAACCTTGAATGTGAACATTTGTACTAGAGAAATAAACTGGGATGAGAAACAAAGCAATAGATTAATTTAGTTCATTTCTACAGTATAGAGTAAACATAAAAATGCACCGGTCTAATTTGTCCAATATGTTCTCCTGGTTTGTTTTCTTCTGCTATTGTTAAAGCACAGGCTCTGCCAAATACAACAAGATCAAGAAGTGAGTTTGCACCGAGTCGATTAGCACCGTGTACACTGGCTGATGCTGCTTCTCCGCAGGCATATAAACCGGGAACGATGGCGTCTGATTTCTTATTTTCATCATATCTAATGACCTGGAATAAAAGATGAAAAATAAATCTTGTGAAAAAAAATAAAAAGACCCAACGTTTTTTTAATGTTACTTATATGATACATCATACAATATTATCTTATTTTCAGTCTAAATTATATTGTTAAATCATTGTTAATTTGTGGTCCAAGATGTGAGAATTTGAATAATCTTTCAAAGATATAGATTAATTTAGTTATTATTTATCGATTTTAATCGGTAAGTATGTTAATAGGTATTTGTCTGTCTGTCTGATAGATACAGGCGATATCTCACGAAAGCGAGATTGAATCTGCTCCAGAATTTGCATGTGTATTCATCATATGTAGGACCAGAAGCCTATTGATTTTGGATTAATTATGTCGTATAATTAGAGAGATATTAATTAATTAGTGATGGGACACAAGGTGTCACTATGGAGTAAGAGCGCTGTTTTGGGGGATCCCGTAACTTTCGATCGATAAGTCTTCGGTCTCTGACCGATATTCTCACTTTTCTGTTACTGAAATCAGAGACATATTGAATGTCATATTTTTGACCATTCATAGACATAGAGTCAAAATTGTCCGCAGAAACGAAAGTGAAGCATTGTGCTAGCTAAAAATTTCCAAAAAAAAAAACGTAATATGATGTGCATAAGCCAAAGTTCCTGAATGCAAAAAGTTAGTATTTTCTGCCTCTGGAGTTGAATTTACATTTTCAGTCAACTTGAAATCAGAGACAGTTTTTTGAATCATTCAGAGAAACAGAGCCAAATGAAATTTTCAAAAAGCACTTAATCTAAGTCAAACTGGTTACCCACCTGTCCTTTGTAATTTGTTGGCACTCCACCCATATTATAATGAACTGTTGGAAGTACGGGTATAGGTTCTCTTGTAACGTCAACACCAGCAAAAATCTGAGCTGTTTCTGAAATTCCTGGTAAACGTGTTGCAAGTTGTTGTGGTGGAAGATGATGAAGTTGAAGATAAACATGATCCTGGATAAAAACAAAATAAATGAACAAACGACAATTTTAATACCACGTAACTAACCATTTTCACACTTTCACGTAAGTATCAGTAGATTACCACTGGCTGCAAAAATACAATAGTAAAATCGAAGCAGCTATCGTCAACATACTTCTGTAATGTCTTGCCCAGTGGTTCTCAACCTTTGTTTTTCGTGGACCAATTTTGTTCAAAAAAAAATTTTGTGGCCCTTGGACTCACTAGATAATTTTGAAGAATTTTCAACATGCATGAGTAATTTTCTTGTGACTGCAGGGCTCAAGAACAACCAAGTCATTAGGTAGGGGTTGGTGGGCATGGACCTAATTGCCATTTGAATGGCCTTCACAACAGATAGATCTATAAAGACTGATATCATAATTTAGTATGGCACATTTTGAAGTGGCACCTCAAACCTTCATCTTACACAAGTTACTATATTTTTGAAGGACTGGAATCTTTTCATTTCAAATCTGAATAAATTGGTATTCTCAGAGGATAGTGATTCAGAACAAACAGGCATAACTAAAAAATTCCTATACCTTGTTAGGACCACAGCCTCTTCCTTCTCTTATTTCTAGCGTCATTGATCTTGATACAACATCACGAGATGCTAAATCTTTGGCTGTTGGAGCATACCTAGAAAAATTATATTATGTATGTTTAAGTTTATTATGCCTTCCATCATTGTACTACGATAGGTAGTCATATTTACATTGCTGGTAAACCCTAACCAATCGAGTGAAAGTTCAATTTTGATGAGACAGCCGAAACAGACTGAGTCAACATTCCGAATACATTCTGCAAAATATTTTTGAATATGGCTTCCTCATTTCAGCCTTGTTCAACTGAAAACGAAAAATACAAAAAACTGCATTCCAAATATGCACAATTTCCCAAAGTAAAAAATTGTGATAAACATATGACTTAATTGGCATACTATTTTTTTCAGTTATAAAGATTCATAAATTAGGCTGTCAATGAGAGCTTGACCATAGATGGGCCATACCCACCATTTTACCCAGGGTGAGATAATTTAGTTGTTACTTATTATAGAGTGATAAACTGAAGAGATTGCTATCCCTTTGAAAATAGTAGCCAAGCATATCTTTTCAGATATCAGTGAAAGCTTGTTCAGAGCAAAAGGAGTGAATGAATGTATAAAAAAAATAAAAAAATTAGTTGAAATAACCTTTCCATGAATCTTTCGCCTTCCGCATTCAAAAGATAACCTCCCTCTCCTCTGCATCCTTCTGTGATAAGACATCCTGCTCCATAAATTCCGGTGGGATGAAATTGCACAAATTCCATATCTTGATTTGCAAGTCCGGCACGATTGAGCATAGCAGTTCCATCTCCGGTACATGTGTGCGCTGATGTGCAACTGAAGTAGGCACGACCATAACCTCTGTAATAAAGAATAATATAAAGTGTAATGTATGTGATGTAAATGAAGTATGGCAGGCAATGACAAATTCTCTTACTGTGATTTTCGAATTTTATTTCTCCACGGTTCTTATAGGTTATATTTACTGTCTGCCACCATCACAGAGATGTGAAGTTAAGTTGTAAGACAGCATTTGTAAAACGGGCCTCAGCCCCCTAAGAGTGATCTGGGTTAGTCCGTCCAGGGAACTTTCACTATGTAGTCGCAATGACTATACAGTAATTTAGAGTAACTGACTATGGTTTGTTTAATTCTACGACCGCAATGCATTTATATTTCACTTTCGTTTGTTGGATTTTCATTATTATTAAAACATAGCGAATAAAATAACTAACAGAAACTTGTTACAAGCAAAACTAGTATTTTAGAGTTTCAAACCTACATATATAAGGAGTTTAGAACTTGAGGAATAAAATGATATAGTCCAATTGATATGAAAACGGAATTTAGAAAACCTGTTGTGCCCACTGATTGAAGGGGAGACAATCTCATATTCAAGCACATTGAAAGTTATTAAAGTCTTAGACTTAACTGCTTCGTCATCTCAGGTTATGTATCTCTGATTCAAATAACACACCCACCACCTCACCCTCTGCGTTATGCATTGCCGAACAGAAAGGTGCTTTCAAAATTACGACTTCTGGACATATTCGCAGATATTAGCAGCTGCTTATACATGGCGAAAGCGTAGGTAACCATCATATAAAAAAATGCCTACCCAGTTGCTAAGACTGTGTTCTTTGCTCTTATTCTATGTATATTTCCGTCTTCTAAACTGAGTGCAACGACTCCTCTGCATTCACCATCTTCCATTATTAAATCAAGTGCGAAATATTCAATGAAATAGTCTGTGTCGTATGCCAGTGACTGGAAGTTGATAAAAATAAAAAGTCTTTAAAAGATAGTTTTGTCCAATTTCACAACTACAAAAGTTGGAGTTACTACTTCATAATATTGGATAATGAATTATTAGCAAGTCCAACAAGCAAGTAAAGGCTTTCTGGAAAGCCCTATTTTATTTAGCGCCTTCCAGAAAGCTATACTTCAGATCATTTTTGTCATAAATTGTCACAGCACATAATAGGGAAAACTTTTCAGTCTTAAATAGTACATTATTAAATGTTATTTATAGACACTTATTCAAAAAACTTCTACACATACATAGTTTTATCAGTATGTTCAAATATTGAATATAAGAACTTTTTATCACCCTCCCCAACAAAAATGTTTAGGCATTTTTCAATAATCGTATGTATGGGCAATCCAGGTATTAATCGAGGCACTTTTAATTAATTTGATTAATTTTCAATAGATGCCCTTTTTCGAATAATCATAAAAAAGCAAAACTTCTATACTTTGTCACAGATTTCTATCACATTCCAATAATACACTTGTTTATAATAATAAGTTGTCTAATCGGCTTTCCCCTCTCCTGAGATAAATATATAAATCCTATCCTACTAGTATGATATCCAATAGGTTACCAACCCTTCCATATAGTGTATGAAGTAATGAGTGACCAGTTCTATCTGCCACACAGCAACATCTATGAGCTTGACCTCCTTTACCATATTGTAAACTTTGTCCCCCGAAAGCTCTTTGATAGATTTTACCTTCCGTAGTTCTGCTGAAGGGCATTCCATAGTTTTCCAACTGAAAGAGGGCGGGAGAAGTTAATTAAAAATCTTGTCAATGATATAGTTCTAATAATTTGTCTGCTACTGCCAACCTAGTATCAAACTTTAAAAAGTGATAGTGACATTAGAGATGGCCAAAAACGAATAAGCATCCATTTACAAACCATTCTGAAACAAGAGAGCGATGCTCAAATGTATGGGCACGAAGAACAAAATGAAAGTAGCATCAAATGTTTAACAATGCCACGAGTCTCAATACGAGATCACTGAATTGTGATCACGGAACCACAGTACAGTGCTAATTTTTTATTTTGATGACGTCATCTCTGTCGCACAAAAATAAAAGTGAAAATCTAACTCTACGTAGCCCATAAGAGTTTTGAAAATAAATAAATGTAATAGCCTTATAGCGATTAGCGACAACAACAATCTTTAACCACTGAAAATTTCAAATCAATTGGTCCTGTGGATGATATTCCTCTTGTAAAGATTGAATTTAGTATTGGGAAATATAGACATAAACATGATTATAATTGATTTTCTATCTAGTGTCAAAAGCTTAACGAAGTTTTTGAAAATTTTTCGAATTGAATATTTAAAATTCTTTCTAAAATCAAGACTTCACTATATAAAATATAACAAATTTGAAGCGTCATCATATATTCGATTCGTTTTGAATATGGATGAAAAATAACATCTCACTGTCTTGGTCTGTATCATAGCTAATTCAAATCAGATTTTATGATAAAACAATATTTTTATACCTCAATAACTGCTGCAGGAGCCTCTTTTGTCATATAATGAATTGCATCTTGATCTCCAAGCCAATCTGATCCTTTTACTGTGTCATACCTGAAAAATTATTGAGTCATGTTAGAGTAAGCAAGTATGCAGATTTAAGTAAAGAGAAAATTTCCACAAGGTGTAGGACATCCTGGACTACAATCCTGACAAAGCATCCGCACCACAACCGTTGTTGAATAAACTATACATTTTGAAACTACTTCCAGTTTTCATATATAACACCAGGCCCAACTCCATGGCCAGCTTGGAATCCTGATTTCAGACCTAATAAGAGCTTTCCCTATCAAAAATCTCAACAATTTATCCTTACATGTATCTTCTCAAAATGGTAAAAAATAAAAGATGAAGAATGAATAAGTCTCACATGTGCCATTTCCAATTATCTTCTTCCATGTTACCAAGAGCTGCATTTATGCCACCCTGTCAGAAAGAATAACAAGATTCGTTATTGATATGATACAATCACTAGTAAAACAAATACACTGGAACCAGGGTAAGAACTAAGGGACACGAACCTCCGAACTACATGAAATATCACATCTTGATAACAGAAGTTCAGAATGTACAGGTTCTCTACACTGTTAATAAGGACGCTTAATAATATTAGTGCTTTTTGAGTTCCAGTGGTCAGTTTTGAAATACTTTAGCAACATAGAGAGTCTGCAATTCCGATTACGCGAAAAACATGTCGAACCTGGTAGAAACCAAAAGAATGGAAAAAAGGACTCAAACCTGAGCAGCCACTGTGTGAGATCGCGTTGGGAATAGTTTGGTGACGCAAGCTGTTTTGAAGCCAGCTTCTGAAAGTCCAAAAGCAGCTCGAAGACCAGCGCCCCCCGCTCCAACAACAACAGCATCGTATGTGTGGTCTATGACTGGATACTCATTCGACATCTGATCTCGTTTAACAAGTGTATTTGTCTTGCTTGAAGTGTGGAACTGTTTATCTAATCCAGTCGTAATGCATGGTAGTACATTCAGACCCTTGAAAAATTAAACATTTTGGGTGAATAAATCAATTTATATAGACACTAACCAAAGTAGGTATTCTTATTAATTTTTCCCGGAAAAAGTTTGAAAGGTAGCACTACTCAAACCAATCATTATAATAACTTTATTCAATTATAAATTTTTCCGTAGTAGGCCTGATGACCTAGTGTCCAAAGTGCTGGACATTAAATTGACATCACAAGTTAAAAATCTCAGGTTTAAATCCCATTCCCACAAAGTCACCCAGAGTGTGATGAATTAGTAGGCGTTGTCAAACTGGAAAGACCAATTGTGAAATATAGTAGCTTTACCTAGCAGACGTTGCTTGGGGTATAGTATAGTTTGGTACCACAAGTACTTCCAGTGGGCGTAGCATAACAAATTTCGCATTTGTTATTCCTAACCCCCACCTGACTATGCCATCCAAAAGATATGTCACTACGACATCACAATCACACAACCATCCATGCACTTTGGAGGTCTTTATTACGCCACTATGACGTCGTAGTAGTGTAATTTTTTGGTGACGTAGTCAGGTGGGGGTTAGGAATGACATATGCAAAAACTGTTGAGCCAGGCCAACTAGAAATGCGTGTGGTACTAAACTATACCAGACTCGTTGATTGTCCAGAGCCATTATCCGAGTGATAGGGCGTATAAATATATCATAAAAATAAACAAGCTGACTGTTAGTGGTAAAAATATACTAAAAAATTAATAGTGCGATGCCTAATTGTCATAATAAATTCTGCATTTCTCAATTTGTAATATTAAAAGCTATCAAATCATTTGAAATTCCAGATATCTGAATATTAAAATTAGTGGCAGTACAATTTGAAAACTACATATTTGAATGGAATTGAACATTTTTAATACTTACTGTCGATCTTGTTAAACCCACAGCAGTCTTTGATGTTATTCTTAACAGTGACGATGCCATAATTATGGCGGAATTGATAAATATTAGTATATACAAAATATGATCTGTGAAGAGTAGATTAAAAGAAGGCCTGAGACTTTGACATTTAATCTCTACTCTTTCATGTTTACCCGTATTGAGGGAGGCGGACAAATCGACTGCACGGACAACTCATCAGAGATAGCCTATAAAAGACATCATCAGCAAAAAACAAAGTCGAACCCAAAGACTGAAACCTTGTCGCGATGAGTTGACTTACACCTGTCAGTCGGCACTAACGCCAGTCGCTAAGCAAGTACATTACCGTACGCAGTTACGTGAGTTGCCTGTCTCTCGAGCATCGATGTCCGACTTCAAAGTCCCCCTTGCCTCATCCTCCCTGTTAACCCTGTCCCGATTTCCCCTGTCTAAAACAGATTGCTGAGAGATGCGAGTGCAGTTTTGAGTATTCTGTGGCGTCTGCAGCTGCCGCAAAATCATGGCGGTATTTCCATACCATGGCCGCTACGGCCAAACCTATGGCGACTGACTTTTTAGCTGCCACAAACTAATGACGAGCTGCCGTTACCGCGGCAGCAAATTGAAAACCAATGGCAGGTAAAATTTTGCTGCCATAACCACGGCAGGTGGGACGTAAAGACAGGGCTGTCCCTTATGGTGACAAATATTGGGTAAGTTGGAACGTTTTTCTTATGGATATACAGTTTCGATAGATTTGGGGTTAGGGTTTAAGTTTTAGTAGATATAATTCCGCATGATCAATTGAAATCTGGTATATTAATTTGTGAATATACCATTACTACCGATTACTGAATAGCGCTATAAAACCATGGCAAGAGCAGCCGCGGTTCGTTCGTGGCAGGAGCTGCCATCAAGTGGTAAGAACTGCGCCTCGAGAGATGGTGAATTTCATTTTTGTTTATGAGAGCCCTGAGTTGGTAGGCCCTCAAACCAATGGCGAGATGCCGGTGCCACGGCAGCAAGTTGAAAATCAATAGCAGGTAAAATGCCATGCATTCCATCTGTGGCCTACCGGCGGTCTATGAAATAATTATCTAAGTTCAGAATATCTTCCAACATGGTCTGACGTCAAGTTTCTTCTCAATATTCACTTCAAGTTATGCTATTTTATTCTATTTATTATTCATCAATCTTAATACAACCAAATACTCCAATGAAATCAACAAAACAGAAAGGGTACAACGAAAATAACAAAGATACACAACTCTTGAACAGCACTGACAATAACCAATTCCGTAGTACAACCTATAGCAAAACAAGTGCAATTGGGGTCTGGTATAGTCTAGTACCACGTGTAGGGTGGCTTACCCACTTTGCGGCCAAGACCTATTTGCGACCATCAACTTCATCGATTAAATTAATGCCGAAAAAATTAACGAACCGAGACAATATTTCTCACGCGTTATCGTTCATTTATCCCTCGTAGCTCTGCGAAATTACACTAAAATGCGGCCACAAACAAAAAAGTTACGACCGAAAACCCGACCGAAGATAAAAAACGGACCATTTTTCCATGTCGCCAACTACCCATTGTCCATTTGAAAAAGCTTGAAAATCTATACAAATATAAGAGATAAAAAGATGAAACTTGGCAGGTGGGTAGAGTTCTGTTTCTTTTAACCATCTTTAAAGTTTCACGTTTCTACATTTAGAGGAGGGGGAATAGGGGGGTGCGCATTTCCAATACGTCGATAATAGCATTGTCGACCAATTTGCGACCACCGTGTTTTTGTTTGTTTGATTGCGGTGCGGTGCTTTGTTTATAATTTGACGAGTTTTGTTCGAAATAACCTTGTTCTTAAAATATATGACAGTCAGAAATGCAATTAGAAGCTAATTTTTTTCACGCATGGCTGCGTATGCCCTAGTCTCGACGCAGCAGAAATGATGTTCAAGGCTTGAAATCCGTGGTCGCACACTGGTCGTTCGATCGCAAATAGGTCTTCAGAGTGTCGTACTTTGGTGGTTTGTATAGCTTTAACACCTGGTCGTAGAAAGTTAATTCGAGGTTTAGAGTGTAGGAGAAATACCGGTCTTACTACTTACTGAATACAGCGCGAAACACCGCAAAGAGCGCAAAACAGCGCGAAACAGCGCGAAACAGCGCAAAACAGAGGGAAACAGCGCAAAACAGTGCGGAAACAGCGCGAAAGAGCGCAAAACAGAGGGAAAAAGGGTGAAGCAGAAAAAAATTTTGCAATGAGTTCGGGGCACCTTGTTTTGAGTTGGAGTACCACGGCAGCAAATTAAAAACACAAACCAACGTATGTAGCCAGTAATGCTGTAATGGCAGGTCTGCCCCTGCTGGTGACACATTTTGGGTACCATAATTTAGAACATTTTCCATATGGATATGGTTGGCTTTAGGGTTAGGGTTAGGTAAAAAGGGACCTCCAGAAGTATGTGCACCAAGATGGCGCACAACCTGGAAATAGTATGTGTGTGTGTGTGTGTAGCGGATTCAGGTTGTGCGACATATTGCTGCACATACTTCTGGAGCACCAAAAAGGTAGATAAAATTTCGCATGATGACCTATAATCCGGTACAAAACCTTGTAAATATGCCGGAAATAGCGCCATAAAACCATGGCGAGAGGCGCCGTGGTTCTTTCGTGGCAGGAGATGGTAATGACTGCGTCTCCTGTTTTGCGCTGTTTCCCTCTGTTTTGCGCTGGTTTCCTTCTGTTTCGCGCTGTTTTCCTCTCTTTTGCGCTGTTTCGCGCCATTTTGCGCTGTTTCGCGCTGTTTCGCGCTCTTTGCGGTGTTTCGCGCTGTATTCAGTAAGTAGTAAGACCCGAGAAATACCCATGCACCTACGGTGAAAAAATTAACAGGTTATAAATATTGGTTTTTGTTTTATAGCGGTTTGAATGAAATCGTCTGCAGACTGGATACACTACCCTACTTCTAGTTGGCCTGACTCAAGCATATGTCAATCCTAACCCCCATCTGATTATGTCGCCAGAAAAATACGTCATTTAAACGTCACAGTGGTGTAATAAGGCCCACCAAAGTATACGGATGGTCGCCCAAAACGCCCTGAAGATCACCCGAAATCGAGCAAGCTATTTCTCTCGTTTTCTCGTCACAACGATCGCCATAGGAGAGGGATCGCCGGCGTTAGCGAGTTCGTTATCGGCGGCGCAGATGCCATTTCGGACGATCGTATTATACTTAAGCAAGCCCTATGACAGTATGACGTGATGGTGACGTAATTTGGGTCTCGTGTAGTTTTGTACCTAACGTACTTCTAGTGGGCGTAGCATAACAATTTTTTGACATGTCAATCCTAACCCCCACCTGACTACATCATCCAAAAACTACGTCACTACGACGTCACGATCACGTTATAGAACTTGCCAAATACACGTACGATCGCCCGAAATGGCATCGGCGCCGACGATAAAGAACTAACTAACGTCAGCGATCCTATCGGGATCGTTGCAACGAGATAAATAGCTGTTCGATTTCAGGTTCTCGTCTGGGCGTCTTGGGTGACAGTTTGTATAGTTTGAAGGGCTTTATTATGTCACTGTGACGTCGTAGTGACGTAATTTTTGGATGGGGTAGTCAGGTAGAGGTTACGATTGATAGGTGAAAAAATTGTTATGCTACGCCCTCTAGAAGTATGCTAGGTACAAAACTACAGTAGACCCCACTTAAACAATAAAAACATCCTATTGACCAATATTAGAATAACCAAACCCGTCATACACCATAAAATCAAAAATAAACACTCTTGGTACCGTACCCTTCTCAAGAACTAACATTAATTTACCAGACACAAGATAAACCTAAAACACTAAATATCCAACTAAAACAACCACAACCGCACTGCTGCAAACCACAGCATAGGCTGATGGTGCTGATGGGACACCAGAGGACAGATCGACATAGCGCCGTCAGTGTCTTCAATGTTAAAAATACAAAATATAGCAATATTATCACATGAGATCATTTAAAAACCGTGGTCGGCAACCTTTTTCAAGTGACGGACCGGTAAAGCATGACCATACTTTTGGCGGACCACCTTTATACAAACGAACTAAGCCTATGTAATGGTGTGGCTCAACGGGCTAAGCGTTAGGAATACGCTCGCCACCGCACCTCTAACTACTCTGCGCGGGTTCGCAGGTTCGAATCCCATGCAGGGATGGTTATGTGCGAGAGGATTGCTGGACTCCTCGCCGTCGTTGGGTGGTTCACGTAACCGCTGGTCGGTTACGACTTCCTCCACCACCAAGTCCATGCTTTCGAAAACAAAACAATACAGTAAATCTAATCCCATACCCGACTTGGGATGGTAACCGGACGAGAGGCCGTGGTTCGCCATATGGATAAGCCGTCTTATCGGCTTTCCTCTCCCCCGGGATAAATATGTAAATCCTATTCTATCCTATCCTATAAGCATTAGAGAATTTATGTTGAAAGTATATATACTAAAAACTACGGCGATGCTATTTAATGCGATATATATCTGTATTTGTTTGATGGCCAATAATCGTTCCCACATTCCGAGATATGGTCGACATGGACACACGTAACCTGTTTCTTACATCCAACCTATTTCGTTTTTGTAAGTATCAATATTGAAAACCAGGCCTTACATTGAGAATAAGATTTCGGGAAAGTTAACGATGCCTGTATCATTTTGTTTGGGAGATCTAATTCGGACTGATCGACCCACCATTATTGCGACATACTGACATGACAGTTGTTTATGAAGTCAGACATGCTGCTCAATAGTGTTGTGCAGTGGTCGGCAAACTTCATATACCTGCGGGCCAAATAAAAAATTTCCGGTAACCGGCCCGCAATATTTCAGCCTTCGAACAATCGCTACATCAATTAAACTTCGAATTATGGCGCATTCGCATTGTTGCCCTTCCATTGCTGTGTTGAAAGCCGGTTCAAATAAGATGTGAATGTGGCGTGTTTTATTAATATATTATTCAACAATACATTGTTTTTATTTACTCATTATCAATGTGAAAGATGATGTTTTTATGGCAACTTGTCGTCCGAATGATAACCTGACAAACGAGTACGAAATTTAATCTAAGTGTAATGCATTTTAGATAAAGCCGCTCAAGGCC